CGTTGGCTGTAGTGCAAACCTGGCTGCCTAGTCAGTGGCATCAGGGTTCGCAAATTCAGACTTTGGTCTCGTGCTGCGCTCCTTGGAAAGATATTTTCTCTACGTCTCGATTGTTGAGGGCCTCGAAAAGAGACGGCTAGCATCTTAATAATACTCCTTGCGAAGGGGTAATATCTTAACTTCCAGCATGTTCATGTGCTTGGAATCATCAACAACGGTCGGTGATGAGATTTCATGACAGCAAACAAACTTTCAGGGATGATTCAGTGAACACCAAGAGTGCGAGATTACAAGGCCATCATGACAGCTTGTCACGCCTGGCAAGCGCAGAGAGATACATATGTCTCCGGCAAGCTTTCTCAAGCTGGCATATAAGATGAGCTTTTATATCACAAGAAGGGTATATTTTGGCAGCTCTCTTATGGCCATTGGCTCTTCATCTCAGTCTTAAGCAGGGTTAAAAGGCATTATTAGATACTGGAGAATGAGATTTGCTAGTTTCACTCATATTTATGCTCTTGAGGAATAAGTAGTTCAATGTTCTAATTAATATACGTTATCTACGTGGCGTGATAAGAAAAGGGATAATTATATAGTTGATATTCTAAAAATATTAAATATGCTAAGATAAATACTAGAAGAAAAGGCAAAGAACACGGTAATAAAATGCGGTAATAGAGATCCATAAATATTAGAACTAATCTTTTTATTAAATTAGATGGTATATAAATCGTTAATAAAACTTACTAGCGTCGCGGAGTTATTATATTTAGTTAGAGAATTTGGTAATCAGATAGAGCAGGAACTTCTAAGATACGAGACTCTCCTGGCCGGTGGTTACATTACTCTTTCAAATATGTCTGAGTCATCAAGGCTTTAGAGTCAGCAATCCAACACATTCTAGCCGAGACACACTTCCCCCAGCTCTCTAACACCATTATTATAATCCACGTGTTCACAATCGAGAAAGACGATAACCAAATTTGGGCAAAACACCGGCCGGGTACCGCCAAAAAACTGGCGAGAAGGTGGTGTAAGTCTTCCAAGGTTGCGCCTTGAGCTTTCCAAGTGCCCTTTTTGGAAGGGTTTAGGTGGCTCGACTTCGCAATGGCTGACGTACAACCCTTATGAAGTCAGATTTCATCAAGCCGTAGCGTTGAAAAGGGGTGGGAGGGGGATTTTTCTGATGCGACGAACTCAGGTTAACGCCACTGCTTAGATTGTGGCTAATCATATTAAATAGGAATTTCCACCGCTGTAAACTCAAGATCTATACAGTAGTTACAAGCGCAGAGTCCCTTATCGGCTTGGCAAGTTTTAAAGGAGGCAAACGTCAGCCTGTAATACTGTACAACGTAGACCTCGCACGGAGGAAGAATAAAGTATCCAGTCTACTCAAGCTTTAATATGAGCTTATTAGAGTAAGATCCCATACTTGTGCTGCTAATATGGTATGATCGCTTAAATTTGACGGAATTTAGACCGGGCAGTGACATCAAAGTTGAGGTAAACTACGGACGCAGATACCAGTTCCACCAATTTCACACCATCATTAAATCCAGTCATAGGGGCTGCTACCTGGAGTTTTTGTGGGTTTGCTACCCCCAACAGAGAAATACTTATTTCGCGTCTCACCGCGCATTATGTGCTTATGACATCAGAAAAGAAGCATTAAACAAACAAAACCCTCAGCAACAGTACTTACATATGTGTGTAGCCAAGACTGAGAATTTTTTTGCCACAGGATTATCCCTATTTTTGGATGTCCGTCCGCGAAATTTCTTCCCAGAGCAAGATGCCGTTTATTTAAAAGATTGAACTAAGCATGCATACAGTCTGTTGTCTTACCAGCTGGACTAAGACGTTGCTGACAGGCCTCCAAGAAGCACGAGTACGTGCGATTCGTGGAACGGGCGTACTGCTGCTCTGCAAGCCGACCAAGTCAGGTCTGCTTCGCCCAAAAACTTTTGTACAACTAAGATTCGAAAGGTGTCGCTACATACATCGCCCGACCTTTTTATTATCCTTTACTTGGTGGGCGCAATTATAGCTGTAAAATTCAAATAATTGCCCAAACGTGAGCGAATGGCCAGCTGCCGAGCAGGAACAATTTGGCAAGCGGGTCTACGTTTACTTTGCTAAACAAGGTACAGTTCAATGAAACGTCTCATAGAGCTTGCAGGAAAGGTGTCGGTAAAAATCTAATGGCCTGCAACGCGTGTCCAATCAGGTAAAATGGCACCCCTCGTTCAATAGACGGTAGGTGAGCTCAATCACATACACGCAGCCGCAAAGAATTTTGCCGCGCGGCATTATTTTTAGGCCCTCTTCAAGCACCGCTGGATTTGGCTGAGGCTCTGGTGCCTGTGCCTATGCAAAAATTCGTACTAACGACGATACAGGTGGTAGATCTATAAATAGTTTCACGCGTTGTTGTACAGGCGCTGCTCAGCCCTAACGCGACATGTGCTGCGCCAGAGAAGTATGGATTATGTGAGTTTCCGTAAACGCTTTACCGCTTCAGAACCAGAGAAACACAGACTAAATCCCTCCAGAGCAAGCTTACTGGCGCACGAGCTAGCCTTGCGTGTGGAGAAATTCCATTTCAAGTGTGGTGTTACAGAAGTGAGGCATACGTGTTCCTCTTCGCGTTTTTGCCTGCCGATCTGAACTTAGACCTGAAGGAATTTGTGTATCCTCATTTTCACTCAGCTTTGGGGTTGGTGAGGCCTCATGCTCATAGAGAGGCGGAGCCGCGATTAGTCCCGGGACATTATAAAATGTCGAGCAGTCATAATCTCGCATATTAGTTTAAAAATTCCTTCACTGCGCTTTTCCAAATCAATTCAGTTCGATTCAAGTTCTACAGCTAAACTTTCTCGGTTATTCACAATCGCTCTCGCCTTATATTCTTTTTTCTAGCCATTGTTCACTTTCCATTACTCGCCAGTCAATATGTTATGCTCTCGCTTTCTTTTCTTCCTGTTCATACTAACTACTCTGGCCAAGCGATCACCACACAGACTGTCCAAAAAACACAGCTTTATTACCTTGGTTTTCAGAAGCCTCTCTCTACCAGAAGGACCAGACCCAGCGCAGACCTCCGCAGCAATCCAGGCTCCTGAAAATGCTACAGACATCATAATGGGAAAAGATATTGGGTCGTTGATGACCCCTGTAATAAAACCGCCAGAAATAGGTGCCATCGCGCAGCCGACCAGAGATTCGTTACTTGCACCCACTTCCACCACAACCTCGACTTGGCAGCTTGGCCCATCAATTTTTAAAACTGTTACTCATTATCTGAACCCCATAGTGTGGAGTCCAGTGATGAAGACTGCCACTACCACAGCAGTGCAGACGCCACAGTTAAATGTCACTTTTGCGGCACGAGAGCCAACACGAGTATACAAAACAATCCTGCCTCATAATAATGCCACAGATGTCGCTTGGAACCCAGTGGAGCAGCATACAAAATTCCCAGCCACAACAGATGCAATCGGACAGTTCGGGTACATGATTCCGCTGACGACCAAATCTGGGCTCCTGCCACCCACTTCCACGGTCTTTCTCACCCCCTCGACGGAGAGTGGTGAATCAACAAGCATTACTTCTGCCACAGATCAAAACACGGATTCAAGCTGGCATCTTCCATCGAGTTTTCTAACCTTGACCATGGGCGACCGTCATCAAAATAGCGCCAACACATGGAACCAAACAACGGCGACCGTGACCGTAACACGCTACAAGACCCCTGCAGCCGTTCTGCAGAACAGCGGTGTGGGAGATTTCCTGAACGTCACCCTGATCAAGCCCTCAGCCATGGACAATTCCTCTGTAGCCGAGACGCGATTTAGCCATCCAACACTGTCATACGAGTCCAGCATACGTGTTGATAAGCCTGCGGTGCTCGTCACACTCCATTTACCAGCGGCAATAGTAACATGGACGACAACTTCAATGCATCGAGATTCATCTGCACGAGCGTCCACGGCCCGTACAGTCGCCCAAACCCGCACAGGGCCCGCTGGTGAAATCCCATCCCCTTCGAGTCACCGACGGCGCAACCACAAACCCACATTCATTTGAGCTTCAAAAATCTCATGGATTAATTCGCTGGTAAGTCAGTAGTGGGAGAAGCCACACTAAAGCCTTTGGTCTCTCGAATCGTTCGCTCTTCCGCTCCGAACCACCATCATGCCCGGCAAGTTGCAAGTCATACTTGGACATCCACGATTTTCACTTGCCTTCACCTTCGTGAGGAATTCTTGTTTCCCTTTTGCTTGGTCAATTCATTTTGTTGCTGCTCTAAGCACATATCCTCGTTGTTTGTTTCTTTCTTTTTCTTTCCTTTTCGCATTGGAAGAAAAGCACCTGTTTGGTCAACCATTTTCGTTGTTTCTTTGAGCGTACCCCTCGTCGTCCTGTCTCTGTTCTCTTTTCGTTCTGCAACCATAGCGCAGGAGTTTCGACGCTGTTTCTTCGTTAGACCTTGCATCGCTCTCATGATTTACCGCATATCAAGTCTCTGTTTTGGTTAGTCCGTTGTGACAAAATTTTGTAATATTTATAGACACAAATCTCACCGTTGCAAATCCCCAGCATTGATCAATTGACGAATTTGGTTGGCCCAGACATGAGTGAGCATGGCTGCGTTACCTGAGCTTCCTACACAGGGATACTCGACGATCATGCACTTTGCCTATGGCGAATCTATTTCTCTCTTTTATCGGATGGCACTAAAAGATACTAACGGTTTCAAAATAGACAACATGGCAAAAGGGCCATATATAATAGACAAACTCCGTTCAAAATGCATCGTCTTCGAGGTATACAGCACAACAAAGCAATAAGAAGAGAGGAAAAGGCGCACGCTTCCAAAAATCGCGTCTCCAGTCTCATGACGACAGTCGAAGCCGCGACCCAACCAAAATTCTCTCTTCGCTCAACCTTCCAGCATCTCACCTAAAGGTTTCGAACCTGGAAATTCGAGCATCCGCTTACAGCTCCTTCTTCACGGCAGGAGCGTGGTAAGCACCAGTCGACTTCAGGGCTATCGCCTCGCCCTTCTCGCTGTGCGCGAGCTCCTGCAGCGTCCTGAGCATCGATTCCCTCGTCTCGGTCGTGAGCCGATCAACATCGGCGGCAGTCAGCCCCTTGGTGGGAATGGGAGGGAGGACTGGAACACGTATAACGTTAGCATTCAATGCTCAACAGACGGTACTAATTTGAAACACCCTAAGGAGAGACTAGAGATCCCACTTACCCTTCACAGGCACGACGCCGCTGTTGAAAATCTTCTTCTTGAGGCTCAAGACATTGCTGTAGTTCGCGACAACGATCGGGACAATAGGGACCTGAGCCTGGACCGCAAGATGGAAAGCGCCCTTCTTGAAGGGGAGAAGTTCAGGGCCATCGGCATAAGAGCGCGTGCCCTCGGGGAAGATGTAGACGCTCTGCTTCTCGTTCTTCATGAAGTTGGCAGCACCATCGAAGGCGGCGCGGGCGGTCTTGCTATTGCCACGATCGATGAAAACAGACTTGGAAAGGGTCACTGTAGATTCGGCGCTGTTAACGATCCATAGCAATCGAGTTGTCGTAGGGTCGAGAGAACTTACTGAACCAGCCGAGGAAGGGAGTGTACTTCAAGCTCTTCTTGGCAGTGACACTGCAATACTTAGGGAAGATGCAGCCAAGCATGAGGACATCGAGTTCACTGTCGAGTTGCGTGTTAGCAAATCCGGTCCTTCCAATGATACCCGGCGTGACAACGCGAGCCAAGCATTTCATATCGGCACCTCTTCCCCCTTTCCCGGGAGATATCTCCCCAGCATTCGTCATCCCCCCACATGCCACCTTAGGTCTGATGTGCCACGAATCTTTCCCCACTATTTCCCCAGATCTCCATCCAGCCAACCTCCAAACGCCCCGTGCTCTTGCAATCCTTCTCACAGGCCTCAGACCACATCCAAGCCCCATAACTTCCTTCCATGAAAGCGACTTCACGCGAAAAGCAAAGGGAACAATGGAAAAAATAAAAAGGTAACTCACGTCTGATGATTGCCCACGAAAACGGCGGGCCGCTCGAGCAGATATTCGTCGCCCTCGACGACGGCAAAGCTCACGCCGGTGCTGAACCACATGATCCACTTGAACGCGCGGGCCGTCGTCCACTGGCTGAGCCCGCCGTAGCCCGTCGCGCGCAGCACCACGCTGCTCACCACGCCGTAGCACGCCGCCACCAGCAGCGACGACACCGACGCGATCGCGCGCGCCACGAACGACAGCATGCTGTTCCTCGGCAGGACGGTTGCGAGCCCGTGCAGCAGGAGCGGCGAGACGACGATGGCGGCGAGGGCGCGGAGGAGGGCGCCCATCGGGAGGAAAGCGGTTTAGGGTAAGGGGGAAAGGGAAGAAAGAAAAGGTGAGAACGGAAGCCGAGGCCGGAGGAGACGGTTGAGGTGGGTTTTAAGTTGTACGTCGGAGCGCTTTCGGGCGCGGGCGTTCGTCGGCGACGGCGAGTGGAAGGCGGTCTCCACGCGGTGGTAGGAGCTAGGTACGGGGCGACCTTGTCGGCTTGACGGAGGGGCGGGAAAAGGGTGCGCTTGCGGCGAAATGCGGTTTGCGCCCCGTGGAGTTTGTATTCCTGCCGGCAGTGGGAAGACGAGGAAGCGCAGACGCGGATCGTTGAGCGGAGAGTGCGCCGAGGTTCGAGAAGATACGGCAGGGTTAAGCCGGAGGCGCGTGATGGGCGAGATTTGGGGTTTGGTCAGAAGGCAGACGGCGAGCGAAAGCAATTGACAGTCCGTTCGCGCAAAACAACGGGAGGGAAGGCGGTTCGAGAGGAGGCGGGGCGTAGCAGGCGTCACCTGTCCCGGTTGTGTTGAGGTGGGATGTCGGCGCTGGGGCTTTTTTCTGTTGCCGACGGTTGAACCGGGGCTGGGCAGCAACTGCGAGCGCGGGCGGTGAGCGAGCTTGAGCCGCAGGGATCAGGGAAGCTTGGCTTTCCATTGGGCGGGGCCTGTGGCAGCTGATCGCGAGCGCCAACATCACGTTGCACATTCGCACATCTGCCATCATGAGACCTGAGATTGATTTCTCCAAAAATAGAGCCCAGCCAATCACAAGGCTCTCAGTCTAGGCTTCACGCCCGTCGTAGCTACTCCGCTGGGCAGCCGTGCTACGAGAACTACATGATGTCTCCCTTCCATGCTGTCTCAAATCAAATTCCCCGCCGCTCTCCGATAGGGGTACTATACAGTAACGAGGAAAGCTCGTTTCTCTGATCATCATTAGAATCCACTAGTAAACGCCAACCCAATGCGCGGCCCTGGAAAGGAGAGGTCCGAGGAAAAGCCCAAAATTAGTGACACTGCTCCACTGAACGCCGCCATGCTCGCTTTGCCAAAATCAAAATTTTTGAGGTGTGGTATTTGTCGCTCTTCATCCAACCATCATGCGCCAAATCGGAATGAAGCGACTACTGATAGGGCAAGGAGATGCATCAAAAGGGAACATAGCCAAAAGCCACGTTGTACCGCCGCTTTTGTTGGGGGACGCCATGCAAGATGCCAAATGCGATGGGGTGATGCAAAGGTGCAAGGGCGGTGAATTAGGAATCCCCACGCCTTTCTCCGAACGAGGACGGCCCAGCCGACAACTCGGAAATGATAGCAATGAGGGAGGCCTTCAAGCCCCGTCGTCATCGTCGTCGTACTCGTCATCTTCGTCATCTTCCAGCGACTCCATCGCTTCCTTGATGTACTGCGCAGCCTAAACCACCGTTAGCAATCTCGCCCGCCTCCCATAGACGACAACCAAGCATACCTTCGGGTCCAAGTTGAGCGCAATGGTAAAGTGCCTGATCGCGCTCGTCTTGTCTCTCATCATCTTGTACAGCTTGCCAAGCATGAAATGCACGTTAGCCTCATCAGGCGCCAAGTCCTTCAGAATCTCCAACTCCTCGAGTGCCATTCTGGTCTTCCTCAAATTCATCAGCACTCTCGCCTTCTTGAACCGTGCCAAAGCGCTCCGTGGATCCAGTCGGCACGCCTCGTTATATTGCAGCAACGCTGCCTGCGGCTTCCGCATTCTCTCCAGGACAACGCCAATGCACACCAGCAGAACCGGGTTTCTCGGGTTGATGTGATGAGCGTTCTTGTAATGCTTTTCAGCAACTTCGAATTTGCCCATTTTTTCGTACACCCGCCCAAGTCCGTACCAGCCGTTGTAGTGCCGGCTGTCCGCGGCTATAGCGCTTCGGTAGGCCAGAAGCGCTTTGTCGAACTCCTCGTTTGCCACGTGCTCGTGACCTTGCAGCGTGAAGGCGTACGCGAACTTCGGGTCAAGCTGCGTGGCACGCCGGAAGCACTTGACTGCTTGGTCGTGCTCACGCTGAAGGGAGAAGGAATTCCCAATCGCGCACCATGCCTGTGGGGAGAGTCGGTCTGTTTCAATGAGCTCGTGTGCCAGATAAGCAAGGTCGGTCTCTCCCTTAAGGTGCCATAGAACAGTCGAGTAGACTTCCATATCTTCCATCCGCGAAGGTGCGATCCGCTTGACTTTCTCAAAAAGGTCTGCGGCCTCGCTGTACCTTGCCTGCTCGTATTGTGCACGGCCCATCTGAGCAAGCACCCAGGGCGTTTCACGCTGTGCAGAGGGAAGGGAATTGAACTCTTCCCACGCAGATTGGGAAGAGTACCGGCTGAGAAGATAGTAAGCGCTTCCCAACTTGCAGAATAATTCTAACAAAGATTGCAAAGCCTCTCGCTCCTTCGCAACTTCGGTAGCTGCCGTCGACTGTTGCTGTTTCGGAGGCGCAGGTGCTATCGTATTCCCGCCCAAAGCGCTTTGGGACCGGCTTTCTTTCAAGTCTCGCTCGCTGGGCTCAATGGGTTTCCTGTTGCCGCTGATCACTCTTCCTACAGCGGAGGCGCCAGATCTGCTGCTCTTTGCCGCTGTGGGTAACCGAGCTTTTCTCAACACCCTCTCCTTTTCCCTTTCTTGAGTTTCCGCACTTTTCCCTGTAGCCAATGATCTGCCTCCCGAGGGCCGTATATGGTCCTGTACAGACTGCATTAGTCGGTGGCTCCTCCTCGGCTGAGATGCGGCGTTGCTCGCTGACGTGCTGGCATGGGCCATGTTTCCAGAAACTGTTCGCTTTTGGGCACCCGCCGTGGAGGACTTCACAGGCTCCGCATGGTCGCTGGAATCCGTCCCAGACCTTACACGACTGCGCGTGGTTATCGACTTCATTCGAGGAACGTCCACTCCGGAGTCCGTCATTGACGGCACCTGTCGGGGTCTTCTTGCTGGTGCGTGTGGTGGCTCCGCGCTTGGCACCCGGCTCATTGGTGCTCCGCCTGCTTCGCCCATCATGACGTCTTCATCATGGGCTCCTCCACCATTACCAACCGGCGTTTCCACGTCAAGGACTTGCTGGCCGTTCCCATTTGCCGCAATAAATCTTGCAAACAATCCGCCTCCATTTCGTTGGCCGTTCTCTGTCCGGCCGGGGTTGAAAAGATCCTGGGAAGGGGTGAAGATTCCATTTGAAGAGGCGTTCGCGGGAGGGGAGTCGGGGAAAGCGGTTGATGCTGATAATAATGCTGACATTTCCGGGGTCATTTTGAAAACGTTGGAGGGGCGGACAACGGCACCTGCCATACGTCAGCGGCCATGAACCTGCAAAGGAGCTGTGATGCATACCAGTCTCGCAGAGGTCGAGGAACGCATCCCACATGAAAGGATTAAGCTTAAGGGCTTCAGCATAGCATGCAATTGCCTTGTTGACATCCCCGTGAGCTCGCCATAGTTTTCCTAGAAGGCAATTCACAGCCGCAGCATCCGGCAGATGGCGCCTCGCCGTCTCGGAATGCTTATCTGGTAGTAGACACCTAATTAATATGTGGCTTTTGCTGGCAAACTTCCTTGTGTGGAGTGCACTTACTCCAGTGGTTCCGGCCTCCCCATTGACCTCGCGCGCGGTCCAGCGCTGTTATGCCTTCAGGGTAGCGCCCCAAGCCCAAGCAAGCTTGCGCAAAGACATAAGCGCAGCCTAGATGGTGTCCTCGGAAGCCTTTCTCGCGGCTGTAATCGTAGGCGGCCTTCAAGCGGCCAAGGCGGAGATTGCAAAGGGCAAGCAGGTGGGCGGCGTCCGGGCTGCGCGGTTCTTGCCCGTGTAGACGGCCAGCGAGGAACAGTGCGTTTTGCACGAAGTCATTGTCGAGGTGGTAGTAAATAAGCTGCCGCAGCTGCGTTGCGACGTAGGGATTCGGGGTGGGGGACATGGCGGCGGGTGGGTGGGCGTCGACGTGGACGACGCAGAACGAGGTGGTCGCGGAAAAGGATTCGACGAGGGAGTAGGGCACAGGTGAGCCCTCGAGGACGGATGCGAGGAAGGTCGGGAGGTTGCGGCGTGGTTACGCCATGAATGCAGGCCTGACTTGTCGCAGAACCAGAGCCGGGGTGTTTGTGTATACAGGTTGTCGGACACGACAAAGCGGAGCGACGCAGGCTCGGCAGAGATGCACGCAGCGCGACGGTCGGAAGCGGCGCCGTCAGCGTGCGACCATGAAGGCTGGGAGGGATCGAAGGTGGCGGGTCGCGCGACAGGCAGGCAGCGTGGCGTGAAGCGAGGACTGGCCGCGGCGCGGTTGCGATGGCTAGTCTCGTCGGGACGCTTCTCTGTTGTTGTGCAGGCCCCGGCGGTTGGCGGACAGGCTCCCATGTCGATCTCTAAGCGCTTCCGGCAAGCGCGTGGCCGCGCTTAGGGTTCCCCCAGAGACTGCTCGCCTGGACGTCACTCCAGCCAAAAGTTCCACCCCCGCCGCATAGGACTGATTCTCACGCTCATCGACGCGTGTCTTTGCAGGAGCCCGCACCCTGTCCACTCGGAGCGCCTACGCATCTCCTCGCCCACGCGACCAGGTCCATCTGCGTCCCTGTCTCTCGAAACGCACACCACCGCGACCCGCAATGGCCCAGGTATGCTGCACCTTTGCGAAAGCCCCTTCTGGCATAACATGAACATTGTCTTCCCTTGGAGCACGGCTCAATATCCCATCCTTGCCTCAAACAATCGCAATTCCCCTCCAATACTGTCAATTGCGCTCTACACAGCAGCTATTCCGCCCACTTCTGCGAGCTTCCACGTCACCCAGTCAGAGCTAACCGCCTCCAGAAATCGCAAAAGCAGCTTGCCGCGCGCAACAAGGAGCAGCTCAATCGAGCGCATCTGATCACCCTTGGCATACACTTCTTCTTCCTTCTGTCCAAGTTCCTCTTCGCGAAAACGTGGTCCGGCCGCTCCATTACCGTCTACATATTGTGCTCGTTGCCGTCATTGGTGATCCAGTTCTGGTTTGAGCGCATTGCGCGCCCAACCTACGACAAGGAAACTGGCCAGCTCCGCCGCGCCGGAGAAGACCTCGAGGCCCAGGGCCTGACTGAGTGGATGTGGGACGTACTGTACTGGACTCAGGGTGTTTTAGTCATTGCTGCTGCTCTCGGCGATGGCGCGTGGTGGCTTTGGGTGAGTAAAGTCGTCGGCAAGCGTTCGGCAATCCTGAAGATGCTAACAACACCTAGCTCGCCGTGCCTGTCTACTCGGCATATCTTGCCTATACAACCTTCATCGGCGCAAGGCAGAGTATGGCTGGTTTGTCGGGTGCTGGAAATGCCGAGGGGATCTCGACTGGCAGTAAGAGACAACAGAAGCTTGAGAAGCGGGGTGGCCAGAGGGTGCAGTACAGGTAAAATTCACTCTAGAAGCATGAAGCATGCTAATACAAGACGATTTTACATAATATGCAACCTTAATGTTCAAACAGCAGTTAACAAAAGCAACGTGTATTATCAATTTGAATTGTGCCGATGAACCTAAACAAAAAACGCCACGTTCCAGACGAACAAAGAAAGCGGGACAGCACGCATGGGAGCGCTGTTGACCTCAGTGCTTCTCTGTAGGATGACCCATGGTATCGGCCTAGTTGTTGTTCTGGCTGTTCAAAATGCGAAGAATGGCCAGGAATAGGTTAAGGATGTCAAGGTAGAGGGACATAGCAGCAGCAATCTCCTCCTCGACGTGGTAGTGACGCATAATCAGCTGGGTATCGACCAGGATGTAGCCGCTGAAGATCAAGGCGGCAACAATACCGTAGCCCAGTTCGACCTTGCTGTTGTAAGGGAAGAAGGCCGACATGAAACCAAAGATGATCAAGACCCAGATAGCGCCAAACAGATAGGGCATCCATGACGTAAAGTCGTACTTGCTCTGGCAAGCAAAGGCAGTGAGAGCAACGAAGATGGCTAGGGTGAAGATGAGAGCTTCGAGGACGATCGTAGCCTCATAGTAGGAGGTGATGACGGAAATGGAGTAGGACTCGAGAACAGTGAAACCAGTGAGGAACAGCAGGTTGGTCGGATATGACTTGCGCTTCCAGAAAGTGAGAAGCATGAAGCCGATGGCGCCGAAGAGGGAGATCCACATCATCCACTGGTTGCCTTGGATCCAGTGCCTGTAGCCCTCACTGAAGAAGGAGATCGAGCTTAAGACAGCGGTCATAAGAAGCTGGACAGTCCTATACGGTATTGTTAGCAACCATACCTTTCCGCTAGTTCGGATATCTCCGTCATTAGAGCTCAGGCATTCCTCGGGACGTCTCTTCTAGCACTCGTGCCATACTACCGTCCAGAAAAATGACCCGGGACCCCATATTCTTATGTGCGCTTATGAGGCGACGACTTACAGGATAGCGTAGACCTTGCGGATGAACTGCATGCGAATGTCGAGAGTAGCCTCGGCAACCACGCCACCGAACTATGGCGCGTCAGCGAAGCCTATAATACGTAAAGCGAAGCTCTTCGTACCTTGAAATCGTCCGGCACATTATCATATTCGCCACGCGCGACACCAGAGAGCAGAGCGGCGTTGGTGGCAGCTTCGGCCTCGTAGGCAGGTGGCGCCTGGCTGAAGCCCGCCGACTGCTCGTCTTCGAACGAGTCGCGCTGCGGAGCAGGCTGGTATTTCGTGTTCGCGGCCATCGTGTCGTAGTTCTGGTTGTGGCTCATGTGGGTGTGACGGTTGCGATCGCGCGGCGGTTGTTGTAGAGGAGTGGAGAGGTACGCGAGATTGGAATCGGTAGGAGAACGGGCGGCGGAGTAAAGTACGATGACGAGACGCGCCTAGCTTTGTGCAGCGCGGGGGCCCCGTTGGCGGCACGGGCAGAAGCTGCTGGAATGCGCCCAACGTGAAAGGCCAGCAGTAACGTCAAGACGCGCTTCCCCGTGCTGATCACTATCAGAAGTCTCTGCGACCAGAATGCGCAGCTGCCGTCGCATGCAGGCGCCGCGCAAGAGCCCAGACAGATCGGCAGCAGCTGCAAGCGTGGGCCCTGAAGGCGCCAAGCTTTGGCCTCAGGCATGTGTTTGAACAGCGCGTCCTCCCCAGAAACGCCGCCAGCGCGACAGGAGATGAACCAAACACCTCTCCGCCAACTCGCTCACACCGCCCACAACTCGCTGCATCGCGCTATCGCCATGTCCACGTAGACCCTGCGTCCTGTCTACGCCGAAGCCGAACCCCCATTGAGCACGCCGCTGCCCCTATCGCCGCCCGCACACCGCGTTCTCAACGCCCACCATGTCCGCATCACACCGCATATCGTCCTACAGCAACCGCAGCAGCTCGCCTGGCCGTCCTCGCAGCCAAGATGAGAACAAAAACATCTGGTCATCCATGCTGGATGGCGTTTCCAGCGGCAAACGATTACCCGAAAAGAGCTTGCTGGTCCTTGGTCGGTCAAGCCCAACAACTGCACCAATGCATGAAGTCTAACAGGAAATTTTTGGCGTCTGCAGGAGGCACACCCGACACCCAGAAAGAGTTTCTGGAATCACTTACGATGGACGAGAACGGCCGGAGGAGGCCGCCGGACCGCGGCCGCAGACCGCCCATCGCGAACCAGTTCGCGCTCGGCTATACGTACCAAGATGTCCTGGACGCTGATCAAGACGGTGCGCTGATGTTCCTGAACTTCAAGTCGGTTATATGCTGATTGGACTAGACATCCTCGCTCGCCTGTCCCTTTACCTGCTCACTGATCCTTCGCCTTCGTTCACCCCGCTCCTCAAGCCGCTGCTCACCCCCCGCACTCTGCCGAACATGCTGATAGTCATCTTGCTGGATTGGTCACAACCGTGGCTGTGGGTTCGACAACTGCGCGAGTGGATTCGCGTCCTGCGCTCCCTTGTGACTTCGCTGGAGGACGACTGCAAATATGTGTTGGAGGAGAACATTGTCTCGTGGCAAGAGCGGGGGCGCAAGAACAACCTCGATGGTACTCCGGGCACCGGGGCTGATGGAGATGTGTCGATACCCGTCGGACCCGGCGAGTGGGACGAGCCGCTCGGTATACCACTTTGCGTCGTGTGCCAGAATGCCGACAAGATCGAAGCACTGGAGAGGGAGCGCGGGTGGAAGGAGGAGGAGTTCGACTTTGTGCTGCAGTACATGCGTACTATCCTGCTGAAGCACGGCGCATCTCTCATCTACACGATGCCCGCGGCGCCCGGATCACTACAGACACTCGTGCACTCGAGTCTCGGCATAAAGTCAATGCTCCAGAAGAACTCGCTTAAGCACAACGTCATCGACCGCGACCGCGTTCTCGTTCCGCCGAACTGGGATTCCTGGGGAAAGATCCGTGTTCTGCGCGACGGCTTTGATGCAGAAGGCGTCAGCCAGGCCTGGTCCGTCGACATCCAAGCACCCCAACCACGACGACCATCTCTCAACGGTGAGGCGAACGGTGAGGAAGTAATCCAGAACGGCGCACCCCATGAGCCGGAAGAAGAGTCTCCCGCTGTTTCCATTTACGAAGAGACCATTCGCGACCCAACCCGGGACTCTCTCCTTGCTCAAGGCCTGCCAGTCAACACTCTCAACGGCGCAAGTGGAATTGAGATCGATAGCCAAGACAACCAAATGTTCTTGGGTAGTCAGCTCGAGGTTCTTGACAAGTTGCGAGCCGAGGATGAAAAGATCAAGAACGCAGCCAACAAGGAGAAGAAGGCCGGCGCTTTCATTACTCATGGCACTGGAGATTCAACGGTTGCCGGTACGAACAACGCAGGAAGTGGTGTTGTGGAAGAGCACATTGGACCGGTGCAGTTTAACATGGGCGGTATTCAGGTTGATGCCGATGACATGTTGAAGCGTTTGAAGGTACGTTCCACCAATGTTCGTTTAAGAAACGGATCGTTCTAACAAAGCTCTTTTTACAGGACCGCGAGGCAAGCCGTGAAGAAAACGGCGATAGTGGTGTTACCAGCCCTGTTGATGACGGCAAGACCGAGAATGAACGTCTGGCCAACTTCTTTGCCGGCTTGATGAAGAAGACGAGCAGTCCACGCTCTTGAACATACCAGAAGACCCAACAATTTGCCGGCACCATCGGCAATGACATATAGTACGGGCTTCTACCAAGGCCTCGCTCATCCTCGCTAGCAATGCTGTGGATGACAAGCTGGGCTCCGATCGGTAGTAACATTATTTACGAGCCGGAGATGATTACAGCCAGGGTTGTGGGGATGATTAATGGCGACCTACTGGTCATGTATGAGGATTCTGATGAAAAGGATTGGAGCGGCGGGGTGGCAACTGGGATTGGACGGCGGCTGGACAAGGCGGAGGAAATCTTCTTGGGTCGGGCCCAGGAGAATCAGCGGCGGCCACGGCCAGCTGCGCTACGCAAAGATATCCAGAGAATGAATGATGAGCGATACGTCGGCAAACGATCAGGGAATCAAGACGGTGAAGAAATATCATGGGGTGAGTGTACTTTTTTACATTATGTTCACGCGGAGGGGCGAGGGTGTGTATGTGTGGCTTGGCTTTATATACCCCCTTATTTTTCCAGTTGGTAGAATCTTCTCCTCAATGCGAATGACAAAGCGGTGGCATCTGCTTTGCCACGGAAATCGACGTGATTCTAACGGTGTGCCCGTTACGGTAATCGACTTAACCCCCTTACATGATACAATACTTCGTTCCCCTTTCGCCCAGCACGCTGTTGTCCACCATACTGGATTGGCGACCGCTGCATTATAAGGCCAAGTAATGTATCCACTGATCCACTCACAGAAACTTTAAAATCGACCAAACGGTACTATTGTTTCACGAGTATATCAAAATTCAATCGTCTCCAAAACCCAGGCGCCAATGCCAGCCACGACGGTTTTTACTTGGCTTTAAACAAACACATTACTACACGACGTACCCGTTCTCATAAAGCGAAAAAAAAAATTAAAAGGGGCAGGAGCAATGAAAACCATGCAAGCAACCTATAATCTCTCGGCCTTAGTCCGTACATTGGTCATAATCGCCAGAGGCAAACACCGAATGAAATGCACAATGAGATAAAGAAAAGCAGCGCAAAAAGAACATAAGCAACACAGCCAAAGCTAGAAAAGATGAAATTAATACCAAGAAGCGTACCAACAGCTCAGAAGGTATGGTAGGTATCACAAATTTAAAAGCGTGCAAGCATCTCCAAAGAAGCTGGGCGCAGAAAAAAAAAGAAAAATAGACGCATCGCCCATCATCACCAGATCATCAACAAACCCGTTCATCATCCACCCACTCTTTCGTGCTCATAGTCCACTTCCAAAAATGTCATCCTTCGTCATTTATCGCCACTTCTTCACACATGTCTTTTTCTCTTCTCCGTCCTTCCATCATTTAGTCTCTCTGCCCCTCGTTCAAAAGCAACTCCACGACGATCTGGCATTTCTCGTGTCTGGGGTGCTGCATCGCCAGCTTGACCGTGCGACTAAGCACCGCTCCATTCCCTCCATACGCACCGGCGCCCATGCCGTTCTGTCCGTGCGCCTGACCGGCATTGCCGTTTGGCTGGACCCAATGGCCACCGAGGCCTAGGCCGTCGTCGAGGCACTTGACGTCCCTGCCTGGAATGACCTGGCGCAAACGGCCGTTTTGCGCGTTGCGCACCTCGACAAAGTCCGGGTCGAAGAGCAGCACGTACGGGCCGTACAACGCCGCGGCTTTGGCCTTGCCGACGAACTCCATGATGACCGACCGCGACACGTCACCATGCTTGTTGACGTAGACGGCGCATTCTTCGTAGCAGAGCAAGAACTCCTGGTCGCTAAGTCGGAACATGCCCAGCGGATCGAGTCCCTGCAAGCGCGAGGCGATGGTAGCGACGTGACTCGCTTTCAGGTCTGGCACGGACCAAGACTGCTTCTTGTCGAGAGTGAGCACTTCGAAACCCTTGGATGTTGAAACGGCAAGGGAAGAGTGGAACAGATTGAGACCGTAGCACTCAGTCGGGATGTAGAACTCGTCGTATTCGCGGAAAAACTCGGTGCGGCCGGTTCGAAGGAAGCGGCTCCTTTTCTCGGTACTTTTTTGGAAGACGGGCTCGAGGACCTTGAAGGTAGAAGAGAGGCCTTCCCGCTTTTTGTAGAAAACGAGGGTACGATCTTTCATCTTGCCGGTTGCAAAGAAGCCGACATCACGCGAACCCGACAGCTTCTGGGGAGCTCGGCGCGCCGAATCGCTGTTGCTGCCACCTGCAGCGCCCCCGACAGGACAGACGAGGTCGAGGTGATAGGCGATGAGAGACTTGTCGGAGATCAGCAGCATTATGCTGAATTCTTCGAGAACGGCGATTTGTGAGACCTTCTGAATCGTGATGGCCTATGGTTCGTCAGCAAATTGTTTCATACCATGCAATAATTCTAGTCGTACCCTTGTCCAGCCGCGAGGATTGGCCGTTTCCGAGATGTACACTCCATAATCCGTCCCGACAGCTACCATGGGCTTGCCATATGGTTGCATGAAAGCTGTCGCGCAGTTGACGCGAGCTCTGCAGATGGGGCTGGGTCGGCCTGTATTGGCGAAAAGCTTCTCGACATCGTCAATAGCGCGGTCCAGGGGAGTGCCCTTGATGGTAATGCTCTGGGAGCCACCCGTTCCACCCTCGTATGCAAAGGCTGAGTCGGCCATAACACGCAAGCGGAATGGCTCCGCGTTTTGCGCAAACAGCGCAGCAGCATGCTTCGTCTTCGCTTCCAAGATCTTGTCACACCAGTCCTGGCGGTTTTGTGCCGACGGTGCGAAAAGCGTATACACCTCCTTACCAAGGTGTTTGATGCGGAATGGATACATGATCTTTTCGTCCTTGGGGCTTTCCAAGACAGTCGTCACCACCATGCCCTTGGCTGCCGACCCACTTGTTAGGGTAGAGCCCATGGAAGACCCCGTGTTAACGTGGGAAAGTGTTCCTGGAGCGGGGCTTGCATTCGATCCAGCGCGAAGTCGGGAGTCTGGTCTGGCAGTTGATGTTACAGTTGCCACGCCCTTGACGGAAGATTTGACGACTGGATCATCGTTCGAACTCTCGAGAACTAAAAGGTCCATCGGAATTGGCTGCACAGGTGTTAGCACAGACAAATAATAGGAAGAGACGGGGCACTTACCAGTCGAGAAACGTCATATCTCTCCTGCTTCGCGCCACCCTCCACGTCTCGGTGATGGACCGTCTTTGCCAAGACAAGGTAGTGGTCGAAAAGTAATGCGTGGGTCTCAAGCCATGTGTACCTTGTACCACCCATGCGCTGAAGGTCGCCCTTAAAAATGAGCTCTCGGCCCAAGTGGTTGAGGTTCAGCTCTACTCTCTGCATGCCTGGACGGAGGATGAGCTTGGACTGGAGGTCCGTGAGATCAACCTTGCGGGACATTTCCGCCACACGCGCATCGCACTCCTGTGTGACAGCCTTGATTTCCTCGATCGCAATGTGCAGATTCCTCTTCTCCTCATTGTCTACAAGAGAACGTTTGAGAACAGTACTGAGCAGAAGGCCGTAGTGTTGCAGCCTTGTGATCGGAGACTTGAGATAGTTGTCCCACGCAAGCTTCTTCGACATTTTGTGGGCCTGGGCTTGGTCCAAATAGCTGCGGAAGAGAATATTCCGCTCTGCTTCCTGTCGGACAAGGAAAGTGGCATACGGGAAAGCAGCCGCATACTCGATATATGCTCCTCGAGCTTTTCTGATCCATTCGCGGAAGATGTCGCTGAAGCCGTGAACCCAAGGGCCTTGCTCCTGTTGGCGGTATTTCATCTGCGGAAGAAGATGCTCCTCGTTTGCTTGCTTGACGGCGTCGACCTTGCCAAATACGTCCCGAATGAATCCCTTCAACTTCTTGGGGCCAATGACTGGAGGCTGCATCTGCATAAGCCCGTCGCGATAGATTTCGCGGAGGACATTCAAACTGTCCATGAAATTATCCTCGGTCTGAACAATCTCATGAAGGATGTTTTGCCTGTCGATTTCCTTTCTGCTGACACTCTCCGGGAGGTCCTCCTTCTTGAGCTTGTAGAACGACAGCCAATCCTCGCCCCTCCTCACGGATGGTTGCGCATGAAGATCAATCTTCTTCAACGTCCTCTGGCAGTGGTAAGAGTAGCAGCGCCCGTGAGTATGGTGTTCGTGAAGCGTTGGTGCGTAGCAACCGGATTTAGACAGTTGGAAGAGCACGCCGGAAGTCGTTGCCGGCGTGAATTTCAGCCACTCCTCAACGTGCTCAAGCGTTCCAACCTTGTACATCTGCTGAACGACTTGAGTGCTCAAAGTTTCAGCATCTGCTACATTCATTGTCGGAACCTTGTAAGTAAACATGTTCACCAGTCCCTCTGTGATGAGATGCTCTTTCAAGTCAGTTTCTCCTTCTGCCATCATTCGCAGCCAGGCGATGATTGAGCTTAACGCCCAAGGCTCCGTGCACCTTGCGTAATCTTTCGGTGTCAACTTCTGTGGGTTGAAGCGCTTGCCAGCGGGGAGTGCGGGAAGATCCAGAGTCATCGTGCTAGCTGTGGGTGGAGTCAAGTTTTCGCTGCTGGAATCTTTCTCATAGAGCGCTGAGGTACGTAATCCAGCGCTGCGAAGTCGTCGCTCTTCGGCATCCGTTTTGGACCTGATGGGTGGAACAGCTTGAGGCGTGTTGCTGTGGCTGACGAGCGAAGTCGATCTTGGCACGACAGCGCTACTTGGAGTGGCCATCTGATCGGGACCGGCAGGATAAGCTCCACGACCTTGCTGATAACCGTACGGGCTCTGGCGTTGAGTGAAGTTCGGTTCACCGGCGGGTGGTGGTGGGAGCGGTCGCGAGTGCGACATGCCTGGGTGGTAAAACATTTCAGGCGGCTCAGCAAGTGTCGATGTTTCAGACACCATCAAACTAGATTCATCGCCTTCGTCGTAGCTCAGGCGACGTCTGTGGGCACCCGGCTCGGCAAACCCGCCGGTGCCGAAAGTGTCCACCCTTGCATTGCTGGAAAACGGAGGGAAGGGGTGGATGGGATCATAAGCGTCTGCGTCGCTCGCGTCTCCGGACTTGCGTTGCGAGCCGGACGACGATAAGGTTTGGCTCTGGCTTCCCGAACGATCGATGCCGCCACTGGCGAGCTCAGCTGGATTTCCACCGTAGGTAAAGTGCGGCTCAAAGTTCCCAGCATAAGCGCCCAGATCGATTCCTGCCATGTCATCATCGCTGTACACGGCGTCTGTTGCTGTCGGTTGTTCGTGAGCAGGAGGTTCCGGCGCTGTGGACGATGTGGGCCGCATGTTGTAGCTGCTGAAAAGTGTAGCACCACTGCTGCCCCTGCGTTCCTCCTCCTCAGCCATTTGCAGAGCCGCCAAGCCAGCGGCTGCTTCCGCATCACTCTCGTCGCTGTAACTGTACGCAGCGTGCGACTGCGGATCTGGCGACAGGTGACCGTTTGTCGCCGCCGCTCCACTCCCAGTAAGCGATGCGTAGAAGAATGGCTCATGCTGGCCGTTTGGCGAATGGTGGTCTGCTTGGTCTACATCGATCCTCGGAGAGTTCCCAGCGTGCAACACTGCATTTTCGATTTCGTCATAAAGATCATCAGACGTCATTTGCCCACCGTATGGACTGCCATTACTATCTGATCTTCCAAAACCGCCATCACCCTGCGGAGGACCGGGCAGCGGCCGAGATTGAGGGTGGCGCCCATACGTATTGGTCCTGGTCGGCGAGTGCTGGGGAAGTGGGGGAAGGGGATTCGAGTGGTATAGTGGTGATGTCCGGCGGTCATCCTGGCCCACCGGGGGCGAGGGAAGCGGGTTATTGTATCGGGAGTCACTGTAAACAGAGGCCATGGACGGTCGTCTCGCGATTTGCTCCTGCCAGTCAGCCGGCGGCGGGGAACTACTGCTGTGAGGAGGGACAGGCAGGGGAGGAGGCGCGGTGGAAGGCGAGTATGCCAAGGGTCGAGGAGGCAGCGGAGCGGAGCCGGGGGAATTGGAATACGTCGGAGACTGTACAGAAGGGCGGCTGTATGTACGGGTGGGAGAGTACTGTGCTTGGTAAGGGATCTGGGGTGATGGAAATTGGACTGTCGCCTGGGGCGAGGCCGGATAAGCCTCATAGCCGTAGCCATAGCCTCGACCGGCGGTGGTGCCGCTGCGACCCAGATTGCTTTCCGAGTAGGCAGCGGGGTTGTACGGCTGGTGGGGAGCAGCAGCGTCGAAATGTGTCCGGTTTACACCACCAAAAGTTTGTGGGTTCGGGATCTGGACCGGGGCGGGAAACTGGCGGGGGTCGTAGGTCGGCTGGGTGGGCGAGGCCACAGACTGGTATTGCGAGCCGAAGTCGGTGGCAAGCGGTGTGGTGGGCATGTCCGGCGGCGGGTTCGACGAGTCCTGCATGAAGAGCTCATCGTGGTGGCGCACAGCGTAGCTGGGCCGGCGGTCCACATTCTGGCCGTAGCTGTAGCCGTCGCCTCGACCGTTTGTGACAAAGGCGGCCTCGTCGCCGTTCTCGAAGCTGGGGCGCCGGGCCTGGTAGGGGCTGGTGTTGCCGTAGGGCTGCTGCTGCGAGGAGCTGGGGCGATAGTACGAGCCGTTCTGGTAGTAGGACATGGTGTCGGCGGGCGGCGGGGAAGGGTCTGGTGGGCAGCGGCTCCGGTGAGGTCATGCACCAGGGCGGCGCGTGGGCGATCAGCGCGGAGGCGGGAGGGCGTTGCAGGGCTGCGGCGTCCACATGGGCGTGGTCGCGCGTCCGTCGATGTGCGCAGACAATGGGCGGCGGTGTCGCAACAGGGGCCGCACGGCGGAAGAGCTTCCCGAGCTACCTGGTGCGGGCGAGCTCTGGGGACGGCGCGGCGGTCGCTTGGGGCGGCGGCGACGGCGGGGCGGGCAGGCAGCAGAGGCGCGGGGCGAGGGACGCTGCGCGGCGCAGGCAGACAGCGGTTTTGAGGATCCGAGTCCTGGTGGACAGGTGTCTGACAAGACGACGCCTGGGCGAGCCCGACGTCTGCTGCTGCGGCTGTTCGCTCGTCGCGCTGGGCCGGCCAATGAGAGAGCCCAACGAGTCGAGCCCGAGGCGGCACGGCTGGGCGCTGCTGAGGCTGAGGACTTGACAGCCACCACATCCACAGAGGCGCAGCCCGACGACGTCTAGCATCTATCATCGCGGCCCGCGCGACGCCCTCGCGGCCCGCAAGGGTCCTCGCTGTTCATCAGCCTTGCAGCCTTCGCGCGCAGCGCACCTCCCCGCCAAGCCTCAGGCGCCCGAGCAGCCCCCAAGGCCGCAAGGCCATCCCTCCCCTTCTCACAATATTGTACCAGCAGCTGCACTCCCACTCAGCCCGCCACCAACGTGCAGCCCGGAGCCGGCGCTTGCAAGAATGACGTGGTGTCGTGCGCGCTGCGCCGTCAGCCTGCGAGAGCGCCGTGCCGCTGATCGCCACGTTTTGAGCGACCAGAGTCCCCATGGAATGCACGCTGCTGTGTCTGACACGGCCCTCGCGCTCCTCGGGTACTCACGCCTACCCCGCACATAAGCTCTTATATCCGTCCTCTTCACGAAGTGCTTATTAGAGCTCGCGTGCTTGGAGTGCTGTTTTCTGCCCATTGCCGTCTCTTTCGATCTTGAATTTACCAGAATCCTCCCTTCATCATTGCTGCAGTCTCGACGTCAGCTTACATCAACCCCTTTGCCCAGGCGTTAGCGCGTGTACAACACCCTCAGTCGTTTTGGCAAGCGAGCTGATCGACGCAACCTCCAAATTTAGTTCGGCGCCACAGAATTTCTCCGGGTCCGAGGCAATGGCCATTGACTCGGGATCCGCCAACGGCGTTCGCGCGCACGAGCAACTGCACTTCAATGAAGATGACTACGCTGGCCCGCCGCCCCCAGAAGCTGACGAGCAAGGCTACCGCATTCTGGAGCAGCCTATGGGGACCAAGCGGAGAATCAAAGTCGTCCTGATGGGAGCTGGTGCTTCGTCTCTGAATGTCTTCAAGAAGGCCGAAGAGGAGCTTGAAAACGTCGAAATTGTTTGCTATGAAAAGAACCACGACATTGGTGGGACGTGGCTTGTGAACAGATACCCTGGCTGTGCTTGCGATGTCCCGTCGGTCAACTACCAGTTCACTTGGAAGCCCAAGCAGTGGTCACATTTCTATTCCTACTCCCCCGAGATCTGGCGCTATCTCAAAGACATCGAACTGGAGAACGATTTCATTAACAAGTATGTGCGGTTGAAACACCGGATCGAAAGAGCCGAGTGGGATGATCGTGTCGGTGTGTGGAGATTCAGAATCAGGAACCTGTTGACCGACGACGTTTTCGACGATGCCGCCGAGTTCTTCATCAACGCCGGCGGCGTTTTGCACAAGTGGAAATGGCCTGGCATTCCTGGACTACATGACTTTACCGGAAAGCTAATGCACAGTGCTAACTACGAGGAAGGCTATGATCTTAACGGAAAGAAGGTCGCAGTCATTGGTGCTGGAAGCAGCGGTGTCCAGGTAGTTGCTGCCATCACACCAAAAGTCGACAAGCTGTATCACTGGATCCGAAATCCAATATGGGTAACCGCAGCCTTTGCTCAAAGCTGGGCTGGCCCCGACGGCGCAAACTTCGCCTGTGCGTCTGCCGCTCTTGTGTGTCTGTTAATGTTGACGTTTGGGCAGATACCGAAGAACAGATCCGCTACCTGGAACAAAATCCACAGAAGTATCTTGAGTATCGCAAACAGATCGAGAACGAGCTGAACCAGCGTTTCAAATTCATCCTCAAAGGCTCTCCAGGTACGAACTGCGGGCCACGATAATGATAAACATCAGGCCAAATCTGCTCCTCCATGTGCTAATTACACCGCCGGCCACTAACAAATACTGAACAGAGAGCAAAGTCGCTCGCGATTTTGCCCGCACCCAAATGACCCGCAAGCTCTCCACCCGCCCGGATATTGCTTCCGCAATCATACCAAGAGACTTCAACCCCGGCTGCCGTCGCCCCACGCCCGCGCCCGGTTACTTAGAAGCTCTTTCCGCTCCGAACGCAACCATCTACACAGACCAGCTCCAGCAGATTACAAAAAGCGGCTTCATTGATCACTCCGGCGTCCACCACGACGTCGACGTCATCATCTGTGCCACGGGCTTCGACACAACCTGGCTTCCCCCCTTCCCCTTCCGCGCGCACGGCCGCGACCTGCGCGACCTCTGGACGCGGCGGCGCACCGCCGTAGACCCGGTCACTGGCGAGGAAAAGGAGGAAACAGATATGAACGTCACATCCTACCTTAGCATTGGAATCCCCTCATTTCCGAACTATTTCTCCTTCTGCGGGCCCTACGGTCCGCTCGGCCACGGCAGCTTTATGCCGTTGATCGAGGCGTGGACGCGCTACATGTTCGCCGTCATCACGAAGGTGCAAGTTGAAGGTATCAAGTCGCTGGCACCACGCACCGACGCGGCGGCGCAGTTCCGCCAACATGCCGATTTGTATCTGCAGCGCACAGCCTGGACGCAGCCCTGCAGCAGCTGGTTCAAGCAGGGGAGGAAAGATGGCCAGGTCGTCGTCTATCCTGGCTCGCGTCTGCACTTCATGGAGCTGATGAAAGCGCCGAGGTACGAGGATTTTGAAATTGTGTACTGGAATGAGAATCGGTTTGCATTCCTGGGGAATGGATTCGAGGTGAGGGAGCGGGATGGAAGGGATATCACATATTATTTGGGGCTGTTGGGGGATGAGGACAAGCAGCCGGTGTACGGGGAGGAGCTAGTCGAGAGGTTGGCCGGATGGAAGCTTGGAGAGGAAGCCGTAGTGACGGGCAGTCAGATGTGCTGAGATAGTGATTGTCATCTAGTCTGGCAGACTACGTACGGTCATTTCCGGTTGCTGCTTTCTGGATCACGTTCTAGAACGTATTAAACGCCCATGGTTTGAGAGGGTCTTTAGCACACAACGGCCAAGACTAAAATTGTAAACAATGACCACAATGATATAGCTCTCTCTAGAATTTATGTAACAGCTTATTGCCCTCTGGCTCCTTTTCAATGGCGAGTGAAAGGAGTTTGACCTTTCGGAACCCTTCTCACTAAGGATATAGTACTCTGTTATGTAAGGAGTTGAATCAACATTTATATATTCCAGTGTAATTTTAAAGCCTATGCCGCATCGAAATAGCCATTTCAATCATCTGTGTGAGGAGTGTATTATCATTCACGAGAAACCAGAAACGCAATAGATTTACCACTTTACATTCCTATATGGCCTATAAAAAATATGGTTAATGCGACACTGTCATATTTATACTTAAACATATTACAGTGGAGCAAATAGAACACGACTCTATTTCGAATATATGCTCAGTGTGCGACCCACCCGCCGTCCACAGTAATAATCTTGTTCGTTACATAGCCAGTCTTGACCATCCACATCACTGTCTCTGCAATCTCCTCTGGGCGGCCAAGGCGTCCGACGGGGAGTTCTTTGGTTATTAGCAGTTTTCATCTTAGCGATGCTTTCAAAAGGGTAAAAGATGCTCACTCTTTGCCAGCTCTTCATTAGCTCCCGGAAGCATGGTTGTGTCCTGAATAAGAGCGGGAGCGACACCATTGACAGTGATGCCTTTTGCAGCATAAGCTCCCGCGAGCCAATGGATCAGCCCATGCAGCGCCGACTTGGAAGACCTGTACCAATAGAAGTTCAGCATCATATGGACCATACACGTCGGAAGCCGATGCTTACGCGTAGTGTGGACCGACTACCCCGCCGTTGAGGCCGGCAACACTGGAGCAGAAAATGACGCGTCCCCAACCAGCTTTCTCCATATCAGGAAGACATAGCTGTGTGAGGAGGAATGCGGAGCCGCAGTTCGAGCGCCAGGTCAATTCAAAGTCCTCGATCGAGATTTCGGAGGCGGAGCGGAGACCGTGTTTGGACAACGTGCTACCAGCGTTGTTGAAGAGGATTGTAGGAGCTCCGAGTTCTGAGGACACCGAGGCGTGGAGTTTTCGAACCTGTTGAATATTTCAGTATTTCTGGAGACTGTATCGTACACGGATGTGCAATGTAGGCACTTTGACTTGAATCCAATCAGAATCTTGAGTAAGCGGAAAGTGTCACCGAAATAAATAAAAAGAAGAATATCACGTCGTCAAAGATCTCCGTTGACATACTTCATCATAGCTGCTTAGATCTGCTTGAAAAGCTTGCGCTTTCACGCCCTTGGCCTTCAGCTGATCAACGAGAGCGTTGGCAGCATCAGAGTTACTGTAATAGTGGGCGGCAATGGAGCAGCCTTTTTCAGCAAGAGCTAGGCATGTTGCCTTTCCAATGCCACCGCTTGCACCGGTGACGAGGGCAAGGTGGGAGCTGAGATCACTGGTGAGGACCGACATACTGTGGTGTTGTGGTGTTGGAGAAACTCCGCTCACAGAGCTACGTCATCCAGCATCGGAGAACGGCCACCTTTTCTTGTTTGCCGAACCCCGCCGCCACCGCTCTTCCCCACAACATTCGGCCTCCAATGACACGACACCAGCGCGCAATGGAACAACCCTCACGAAGCCGACGCGGAAATTAGCTGCTGTCATCCGGAACTTACGGCCCTGATACCTGTCGTGGAATTGTTGGCATGTCAGCACGTCTTGGTTCTGTCCTGAAAAGTAAACAAGCAGAGTATCCAAGCGCTCCGGGAAGCTATGTCCGGTAACCCGTACGCTACCCTTTGCTGACTGTGCCGCGCCGCGAGCGGTCCGTTGAGTTCGACTCCACAGCGGCATCCGGAGAGTCTCCGTCTCGACTTGCGGATTCGGCCCGCCTCCGTCGGAGCGCTCCTTCTCATATCTCAACTTTGCGCTCAAGCTCATTTTTTTCTTCAAGAGTTCTTCTTTCCGTGCTCAAATTTCTGCCAGTTCGCTCGAATCAGTGCCTGTACTTTTGGTTTCCCAGGAACATCTTCACTGAGCATCTCGCCTTGACAGTATCCCGGCAGTGTCCCAGGCCCTACTCAACAACAACGTTGACCCGAAAGGCACTAAAGACGCAAAATCAGCAATTCTCACGCCACCCAATCACGACAATGTCTGCCGCCAACGCCCCCGTCAGCAGCGCCGAGGAAGCCAAATCCACGCCAGTTCTCGTCCGAGCCCAAGACGCCGAGAAGTTTGTCCAAGACGTGCTTGTCGGAAATGGCGTGCCGCCCGAGAACGCCGCAATTGTCGCCAAGTGCCTTGTCGCGGCCGATCTTCGCGGCGTCGACACACATGGCATCAACCGCATCCCATCGTACATGGAACGCATCCGGCAAGGAGTCCTCAATGCGAAAGCATCGCCGACATTGCAGCAGGTCACTCCGGTGGTGGCCCAGGTCGACGGCCAGAACGGCTTCGGGTTCGTGGCGGCACGGCTTGGCATGGATGCTGCCATTCGGATGGCCAAGGAGTTCGGAATCGGCATGGTGAGCGTCAAGCACTCGAATCACTTTGGGATGTCGGCATGGGTGGTGCAGCAGGCGTTGGACGCCGGCCTCATGTCCCTCGTTTTCACGAATTCGTCGCCGGCGCTACCGGTCTGGGGCGGGCGCGAGAAGCTCATGGGCGTGTCTCCCTTGGCGTGCGGCGCTCCGGCTGGGCAGTCGAAGCCTTTTATCCTCGACATGGCGCCGTCGGTGGCGGCGCGAGGTAAGATCTACAAGGCGCTGCGGCGCGGGGAGAAGATTCCTCGCGACTGGGCGCTGGACGCGGAGGGACAGCAGACGGACGACCCAGCCTCGGCGTTACAGGGTGTGATGCTGCCTATGGGCGGACCGAAGGGCTCGGCGTTAGCGATAATGATGGACGTTTTCAGTGGAGTGCTGTCAGGGAGCGCTTTCGCAGGCCACGTCACTAACCCATACGACCCGTCCAGGCCTGCCGACGTGGGTCACTTCCTCGTCGCCATCAAGCCGGACCTGTTCATGAGCCTGGAGGACTTCAAGGAGCGTATGGACTACTTGTACCAGCGCGTGGTCGGGTCGGAGAAAATGGCGGGCGTGGAGCGCGTCTATTTTCCCGGGGAGATCGAGCAGCTGAGGCAGGAAGAGCGCGAGCGAAACGGTATACCGTATGTGGAAACGGAGGTCGCCGCGCTCAACAAAGAGGCAAAGCTGGTTGGTGCGGACGGCATCAAGCCCATGGCCTGAGCGACGCCACCAAAGCGCCTCGGTGACCGAGTAAGGCATCCATGTCGGTCGGCACTGGGGCAATTTACCCGGTTACGTCGGCCTTTGATCATTCGGCATGCGCTGCCTGGCGCCGCGCCGCAGAAATGTCCAGTTTTCAATTCTACAGCTCTCAAAACGCAGCGTCACGGTGCAGAACCCCGGGATTTTTGTGTGTCAAACGACAGAAAATCGTTACAGACGAGGCAGGGACAAGCTTCCCCGCGTGGGGCGAGAGCCGGCGTTTCTCCACGCGTCGAAAGCTGGAGCTTCTCTGGTTTCGGAAATTAATCCGCCGCTCTCTCCAGAAAACCGAGCCCACAAGCCGGGCTACCGTGCGAGACGACCGCTCGAACGATCTCGCAGCAATCATCTACCGACCGAACTAGCGCGCCAAGCCGCCCGCCAAGGCCGCTCTCGGCCAGTAGCAGCTGCTGAGTTTCTCGCTTTATCAGTATGTTTTGCGTAGGCCCGGTCGCCTGGTGGGTCTGTCCGAATTTCGAGCATGGAACGACATGGAACGGCACATGGTTGCGGTGAGACGGCAGGCACACACGTGGACAGTCACTGTCCGGCTGCGCAAGCCGTCTGCTTCAAAAATGCTTTTCAGAGTTCAGCGCGACGAGCAGACGTTGCACCCAAGACCGATCATGCGCCGCCTCTGACGGCGTGGCAATTAGCCGACCGATCAAGCTCTCGAAGCCTCTGCCAAAGACACCGGCCAGTCTGCGCCCCGAAAGTAAGCCGTGCCCAGCGTTGCAGTTACCCAACGGGACGGACTGCTCTATGCGGCCAAGTCTGCCAAGACTGCGGGGGTTGTTGCGGAGGGCCGCCGCCGCGTGCAACCACAGACGGCTGCCGCCGTCCTATCACACACGTCCCAGCCCAATCCTTCGCTCATGGCGCCCCAGCGCTCGAGCCCGCGATCTATCTCCCGGCCTCGCTATCCCCGCCCTGACGTCCGTTTCGAACACTGTTCTCCGGCAATGTCACCTCATCCGTCCTGGCCACCCACGCGAAAATGACTCGGACGCGGCTGCTGCACGCCTCGCCGCTGAAGGGAAACGCGAGTCTGGAGTCTCCACACAGAACCCTGCGCTAAGCTGGGTTGTAGCCTCATGGTGGGGAGCGCCGTGGCGGGGAAGGTTGCGCGCGTGAGCCAAGTCTTTTCCGCTCCGCGCAATGCGCAGATGCCGTGCAATATAAATTTCCTGTTTCCCCGCCTGTGCTTGAGGCTCTTCAGCTGCGGTCGTGCTATCTGTGTTCGGCGGTGTGCTCTCCTGCCTTCCCTCCTCCTTCTGCCTCTCCTGCTCTTCTGATCCCCTCCATCCTATCCTACCGCCGCCATGCCGGGAATCTACAGGGAAGCGCTCAAAGACACCCCCAAGGAGGTGCGCAACTGGCGCCTCTTCTATGGCGTGTTCGGTAGGCTACACGTATCACCGCCACGACGGCTGCATTGACTGACAATGCTTCAGTGTTCGGCCTGATGGGCGCTGCCCGTGGTCTCGACGAGGGTCTTACCGGCACCACGGCCGAGCAGCACTCTTTCATCAACAAGTTCGGTCTCGAGGATCCGTCTCTCAGCGAATCGGAACAGGCCAACCTTCTCTCGAATATCACCTCCATGGTGCAAATGGGTTCTATCCTCGGTGCCATCATTGCTTTCTGGATAACGGACAAGATCGGTCGCCTGTGGGCAACGCGTGAACTCTGCCTGGTTTGGGTTACTGGTATCGCTATCTACCTTGCGGCTTCGGCCAATGGCAACATCGGCATGGTCTATGCTGGCCGCTTCATTGCTGGCGTTGGCATTGGTCAGACCACCGTCGTTGCTCCCACCTATCTTGCAGAGATTGCCCCGAGGGCGCTCCGAGGTCTCTGCGTGTGCATGTTCGCCGGTAGCGTGTACCTTGGAATCATGCTGTAAGTCAATCTTGCTTGAAAAGCATATGCAGCATCTCAATCATGGGAACACTCGCTGATCTAAAAATCACTTCAGGGGCTATTTCGCTTCTTGGGGCTCGTCTCTTCACATCTCCGATGATAGCCAGAACCAATGGGTTGTTCCCAACAGCCTGCATCTGATGTTCGCCGGAATCATCTTCTGCCTCAGTTTCGGCTCGATCGAATCTCCCCGCTGGCTTATCAAAGTCAACAGGCACGAGGAGGCTTCTGCAAACCTCGCACGCCTGCGCCAGCTTCCGGCGTCGCATCCGTTTGTCCAGACTGAGATCATTGACATCAATGACCAGCTCAACCGCGAGGCCGAGGCCACTCATGGCGCTTCCCGCTGGGGAGTCGTCAAGGAGCTCCTCTCTACGTCGGCCAACCGCTACCGTCTTATGCTGTCTCTCTTCTCGCAGCTGCTGTCACAGTGGAGCGGAGCCAACTCCATCACCATCTATGCTCCGGAGTACTTCAAGATGATGGGCACGACCGGCCAGTCTGAGAAGCTCTTCGCGACCGCCATCTTTGGTGTGGTCAAGTTTGTCTCTGCTCTGCTCTGCGCCTTCTTCCTCATCGACTTTATCGGCCGCAAGCGCTCGCTCAGCTCCGGCATCGCGCTGCAGTTCTTCTCCATGCTGTACATGGCCATCTTCCTGGCCATCGATAAAGGCGTCGCGGACGAGGGTGCTCCGCAGAGCCCGTCACAGAAGCGCGCCGCCATGGGCGCCATCGTCATGATCTACTTTAGCGGTTTCGGCTGGGCGCTGGGCTGGAACAGCGTGCAGTACCTGATCAACAGCGAGATCTACCCGCTGCGCCTGCGCGCCATCGGCGGCTCGATCGCCATGACGATCCACTTTGTGAACCAGTGGGGCAACAGCAAGGCGGTGCCGAGCATGTTCATCGCGCTCGGCAACTCGGGCACCATGTTCTTCTTCGCCGCCATCACCTTCATCGGCTTCATCTGGGTGTGGTTCTTCCTACCCGAGACCAGCGGAAAGTCGCTCGAGAGCATGGATCGCATGTTCGAGCTGCCCTGGTACCTCATTGGTCGCAAGGGCAAGCAGATCAGCGATGCCGAGCCCAGCACCCTGGCCGAGGCGTACAACTCGGAGAAGGCTGGCGAGGAGAAGCGCATCGAGAATGTGCAGGAGGAGAGGGTTTGAGCGTTTGCCGCGTTGGAAAGCACGGATTGATTACGGGAAGGGATAGAAATTATGCTTTTGTTTCTCTTCCAATGATGTCAACGACTACTAGTACATATTACATTGTATGTGCAATGAAAATTATGATTTTAAACCAAGTCTTTCCCGATCTATCGTGCTTACGGACTGATGGCTCGTGGGCGTTATGTTTCATTACCCCCTTCCCCTCTCTTCCCTTTCCCAAGGAATATAAAAACGGACAAAAAAGCGAGAAATGGCCCAAGTACCGTTACCTTATGGCCAAGTTCTTTTGACATGGCATACTAGTGATTTGGCGAGCTCCCGTAGGCAGACCATCCTTTGTGTCGTTCAGTGACTGAACTTGTAAATAGCAAGTGTCAGCATTCAGTTTTCTGCGACTTTTAAGAAGGAGTTGCGGGCAGTCTTATTGTAGCGTAATATTGAAGAATCTTCATAATTACATACGAAAGGGGGGAATTGTATTATAGTAACGCCTATTGTACTTCCAATTCTTATAAAGTTCCTACCCTTTAGCTATGGGCTGAACTTATTCTAATTTATACGCCAGCCTCTTAAAGATAACTTTATGGGGATCTGAAAGGATTTTCTGCCACTGTATATCTCTTTTCTTTACTCTAGCTTATTTTTCTAGGCTTTTAAGAGACTTTTTCCTCACTACATGGGTGACGCTTGAAAATAGCTCTACGAAATGGCGTTTCTTTGCCATGCCACAAACTGCACAGTGAATCACCACAAGCTTAACATATAATAGTATTTCTAATCTAGAACAATGCTGCGCTGTTGAAAGCATGCAACTAAAGGCGCCATTCCTACAAGCGTCCTTGCAGTTTGATCTCAAGCGTTCTCAACGGCACATAGAGCAACCCAGCCAGGGCAAACGCAACCTCGAAGCCAATGTCGCCCGTATGTTCCGCAATGGGACCCGTGTACCAGGTCGCAGCCATGCACGGGACGACGAGTCCGAAAGATGCGACACCAGCCGTGATTGCCGCGATGCCGCTCGGGAGTTTTCCGGCGTTGTTCCAGATGTCCCTATCGTACGTGGACGAATCACCCTTACGGAAGTAGAGGTGCTCAACAATGACGATGGCAGCAAAAGCAGCAGGCCTAAGAAAAAAGAGCATATCAGTCAGAATGAGGCTTCGATATCAAGAGCTGAAAACGGGTGAAGTGATTGCTTACCAGTACGAAACGATGCCCAAGAAATTCTCCAACGAGTCGAAGAAATCGGTGGCGGCGGTGATAGCGACGGGGATCATGACGGCGGTGGTGACGACGGAGAAGACGATGCGCGGGATGCGGACGAACCAGGGCACGAGCAGCTGCCAGTTCAGGGTGACGGTGTACATGGAGGCGCTGACGTTGCCGGTGAGCGAGAAGGCGAGCAGCACGGCGATGAACTTGCCGAAGCCGCCGGCCGGCCGCAGCATGGCTTCGAGGACGCCGCCCGTCGAGAAGCGCGTGTGGCCTTCGTTCCACGCCGGTACGTTCGGGACCGCGCCGCCGATTGCGGCTCCAAGGATCTGTCCCCCGGACTGTGAGTTAACGTTCCGGATAAGAGGAGTGACGAATACGTACCATGAGCAGGATGGTGGACAAGTTCTGCGCTAGATAGGGGTAGAAGAACATGCGAGTGCTGTCTCTGTCTTAGCATTCTACGTGCACCTGACGTCCGTCTGGTGTGGCTTACACTGGGGCAGTAGATTTGTAGTAAACGGAATAATCAGACATGATTCCCGCGAAGGCAATGGAGAAACCAGCGATCAAGCATCCAAAGCTCAGAATCAACGGCGCGTCAGCCGGCTCAGCCTCGACCTGCTCGGAAAGGTGCTTTCCTCCACAGCCAGTCATGATGATGAAGCAGATAAGGACACCGAGCCATGACCACCGGTTGTAGATATGGATGACCTTGTATCCGCAGAAGGACATGAACAGGCCTACGACGAAAGTCAGGACAATTCCTAAGGCGACTGAGATTCTTCCGTCAGAAACGGCAGAAAGGGTTCTAGTAGACGTCAGTGTGCGAGCCTAGACAGCGCGTGCTTGTCGACTTACTGGCCCGCGACTATTCCGGCAATAACGGTGAAGCCGACTACGGTCATCATGTTCAAGGCAACGACGATAGTGACGGGAAAGAAACCAAAGGAATAACGTGCTGAGACCATTTGGCGCATCCCGGTCTGCGGGCCCAGGATGTTCACGTAGGCCGTGGGGATGTAGCACAGAAGGCTGAAGAATATGATGGTGAGAGAAGTGTCTCGTAGACTGAGGCCGTATCCCAATGTGCCGAGCATGCCCGTTATGATGCTTCAAAAGTTCAATTAGCATTAAACTGCCTTTACTCTCTTACGTCGATTGAGATTTCAACAGACTTACGGAAGCAGGTTGACCAGCATGCTCAACCACAGGAAGAAGACATTATGGTATTGGGTCTTGGTCTGGTCCTTTTCAGGCACTGGCGCGATCCCACGCACCTCGACGCCCCAGGAAGTCAGCCGCCGCAGCAAGCTTGCAGTGCTGGAACTGGAAACATCGTCACCCTTGGGAAGCTGGGTGGTGTCGTGAATGGCAGCGTCCTTCTCCACGTCCTGCCCAATTGCAGTCTCCGGGCTGCTCGTTGCCTGGGGCTCCAGGTCCTCCCTCATCTTGCTTAAAGCGGCAAAGATGGCGGTGTGGGGAAAGAGCAGAGAAAGGCCGGAAGCACGAGCTGAAATTTCTGTCTCACAAAAAGACGAGTGGCGAATAAGCGACAGAGCTGAAAAGATTGAAAGTTATAGCGAGCGGCCTTCGATGCAGAAGCTGGAACCAACTATACGAAGGACAAGAGCAGAAGAGTCACCGTTGTGCGTGCCACAAAAAAAATGATAGAGGAAAAGAAAACCGCCTTGGCTTTAGTGCCTGAGTCATGGCGTGTGGCTACTCGGCGGGGCTTTTGGTAGCGCCACTCCGACTGGAGTCCCTCTCCATTTCGAGCGGAACCCTCCGCTCCACCGTACGAGACGGGGCAAGAGCCGATGGCAGAGACACTGCTGTTATGCAGATAGCGCTAGGTTGAGGGGTGGTGCACTTCGCAGATGTAGCACGCCCAGAGCTAAGAAAAAATTAGGGCTAAAATGCAGGCCACCCCACCTCTTTACAGCGTGAATTTGTTTTCCGCTCCCGTCATGTGTAGATAATGATACTTCTACTGCTTACATGTGTTTGCTTCTTTTTATTTAAAAAAAAAACACCTTACGCTATGAGTAGTTGAAGCTGGCATCAGGATGTGAATGTGAAATTGGAAATTATTCTCGTCCGGACGATAAGCCGAATAATCTCTCATGAATATTGTTCAAACCCATCTATCCTTGGGGCCTTCGGCTGCAATACTCCTCTATACACCTCTTTACCCGGCTGTGTCATGTGCGAGCTATATTCGCGATCAAGTGTTGCTCAATGAGAATTAAACTTGTCTTATTCGAAAGCAATAAGCGTGGACGTAGATCATAGAGTATCATAACGGTCAGAGGCGGTAAAGCGTCAAAACGGATTTTGCTTATTACCTCTATCCCCATAAAAACCACCCAAGTCATGATTTGCTGATCCACTGCGCCGGGAGAAGACGCAAGCACCAGTCACTTTTCCCACGCCCTAGGACCCAATCATCAGAATGGTCGTGTATGATACAAAGAGAGAAGATACGCAGGACCTGGGAGATCTGCATACCAGACAGTCCAAGGGTATCTAGTAGCCGGTTGCGCCAGGTGCCTTCTCGTCCTTCCGCAAGCTGAGCAGCAGTTCCCTGAACCTGGCCTTCTCGCTGCCGCTGCCACCGCCGCGTGCTCCCTTGCCGCTCAGGTCGACGAGCTTCGCAATGCGCTCCCAGCTGGTGCCGCCGGCCGTGGTGTCGTCCCTGCTGTTCAGGAACTCCTCTTCGTCCTTACGGGTCTGAGCGATGCCCTTCTCCTTCTTGTTGTTGTAGTTCTCATAGAAGTCGTCAATGGCCTCGTGCGCGGCCTTGATAGTCGCTTGCTTCTTCTCATCCGAGATCTGGTCGCGGTGCTGGATGGCAAGGTCGCGGCGCTCGCGCCATTCGCGAATGACCTCGGGCTCAGGCTCGTCGGCGGCGACAGGAGCGAACGACGAGGACTGGGGTGCGCCGGGGAGGAAGGGGGCGGTGCTACCGGTAATGGTGCCGCCAGGAGCCATGTGCTATTTACATCCATCAGCATGCGTACTGTTGTCCCAGCTTGCGCGCTGCAAAACTACGGAATACCAACCTCGTTGGACGTGTCTATCGCCGGGAAAGAGCTCTCGAAGCCGGTCATGTCGTCCTGGTCGCCGATGGCCGGGAAGTCACCGCCGCCACCGCCTCCCAGAAGATCATCGTCGCCAGCATCCTCAACGGTGGCAGTGTTGTCGCCAGGTGCGGCGAACTGGTCGGCGTCCTCGCCCAGTAGTGCGCGCTCGCGGCTCAGGAAGTCGCCCTGGTCTGCGGTGTCGGCAACGAGGTCGAAGTTGGCATCACCGCGGGCTTCGGTCTGGCCTGGCAGGATTGCATGTCAGCGCATGTCTGGGATGGCCAATTCGTTTCAGGGACATGTAGGTGGTATTTACCGGCATCAATCTCATCCAGCGACGGAAACCTGTCGGCCATGGCGGCAATGTGCGTGGAGCGGACGGAGATCGGAGAGATGGAAGATTGCGGCGTCGGGTGCGTGTTGGCGATTCGCGGTTGTGGTGTTCAGGTCGTCGGGCTGGACATGCAGCGGAGCTCCAAGCTGGCCTGGCCGCACAGGAGAGCGCACTGCCAACGCCCGTGACGCGCAGTCTTGGCGCCCGAACGGAGCGGAACAATTGCGTCGCCCGGCCATTTGTGACGCCGGCGAGCTGTACGAGGTAGCTTCTGGTGCTGCAAATCCTCCACTCCACGCAGTTGCTCTCCTGCCCACCACTCCGTCTCGGCGACACTGCGCGAGCTGTAGAACATAAGAGTGAACCCGTGCCTGCCGCATAGCGCGCCCTGCTGCTCTTGCACCTAAGCCAAGATGGCATACACCGACGACGCCGTCCAGGCAAAGCTGTCGGCCCTCAATGAGACGCAGGAGGGCATCGTCACCGTCGCCCAATGGATTATGTTCCATAGGTACCGCGTACATGCACCACTCCTCGCACAACTCCCCGCTCACCGATGCTCACAGGCGCCATGCCGACCGAACCGCGCAGCTGTGGATGCAGCGCCTGAAGGACTCCGCCCCGAACAAGCGCCTCAGCTTGATCTACCTTGCCAACGGTATGCTCCGAGACCACGTCATATCCGACCGCCGTCTGACGATTCACAGAGGTTGTCCAGCAGTCCAAGGCGCGTAAGAAGACCGAGTTTGTCGCCGCTTTCTCTCCGGTCAGTCTTCGCATTCGCAGCGCACGCGACCCAAGCTAACACCTCGCAGATCATCGCCGAGTCGACCTCTGTCGCCTACAAGGGAGCTCCTTACGATATCCAACAGAAGCTGCGACGCGTCATTGAGGTCTGGCGTCAGAGGGTCATCTTCGACGCTCCCGTCCAAGACCAGATTGAAAGGAACTTGGACGGTTCAGTCACCCCACCGAAAGCTATAGCAAAACGCAAACTAACATACGACTTTAGAACTCGACAAGACCCGCGGTCCCGGCAAGAAGGCCACTCTGGGTGGCTCTCTCTTCTCGAGTGGCTCCTCCGTCCCGCAAGAGCTCCAGCCTCTGGTGCCCCTCCAGACCTCCCTTACCAAGACGGACAATGCCTCCAAGTCCAGCGTTACGCACGCCTACAATGAATACGACAAGCTGATCGACCCGGCCAACCCCGTCCCGACGCCGCCCGTCCACGCTGCTCGCCTGTCACAAGTCCTCAAGAACCTAGCGAGCGCCGAGAGCGCCGTCGCCGAGAGCATAAAGTCGCGCCGGGAGCTGATCACAGCGATGGAGAAGATGCTCGAGGGCCACAAAGCAACGCTTGCCAAGGACGAGGCCGCGCACCAGGAGCTGGGCACGCGCCGGGCCGGCATCGAGGCCAAGAAGCGCGAGGTCGAGGACGCCATCATGCGCGGTCTGTCGACCGAGCCGCAGCCCTCGGGCCCCGCCGCCAACGATCCGCGCCGCCGCCCCGTCGCCGTGGCCGCCGACGGCAACAACGGCCTGGACGAGCCCCAGCGGCCGGATGTCGAGGGCTTGACGCCCCCGCCCATCGAGTCCATCACCCCCGTCGGTACGCCGCCGCCCGCCTTCGCGCTGCCTACGACGACCGGCGTGACGGGCGGCTTCGCCTCGGAGCTGCCACCCAGCCACGACGAGCCGGCCCCTGGACCCAGCGCCCTCGAGGCCCTCGCCGCCGCCAGCATCCTGCCGCAGAAGACCCAGCGTGACGACAGCGACCAGGCGAACGGCTACGACAATGGTAGCGGCGGCTATCCCGGCGCTGCCAAGAAGAGGAGAGTCGGAAGCGGGGCGGGAGCGGGTGTCGCGGAGCAGGACTTTGCCGAGTTTGCAACGGGCGATGCCTACGACGGCATCGACGCTGATGTTGCGGACATGCTGAGGAGGGACTAGGGCTGCGAAAGAGGGAGGGACAAGAGAGACAGCAGAACTCGCTCGAAGTAAAGGGGGATGGGATTCGAGGGCGAAGAACAAGCGGGCGAGCGGAGAGAATCAGGCAAGCAACCGAAACTCAGGGGATCTCTGGACGACGATAATAGGGAACTTTGCTTCGGCAAGTCATTGCCGACATAGAATGGGGAAAACAAAAGAGATTAGGTCCAACGGCGAACACAAAACAAACACCAAATTTAAGCGCGCTAAACGCTCCAACCGAAAATCCTTAACCCACCGGAGATCATTCGGCACTTCTTTTAGCGCGGCTTCAGGTCGAGTCGTGTTGCTTTGGGGGCGGTGGGGGCCAATACTCTTCTGCCCCTCCGCCGATGACGATGATGACGATGGATCCGATTATCGTGAGGCGAGAAGAGGAGGCGAAAAAAGGGGGGGAGATGATGAGGCCTCCCCTACCTTGCCAAGGTGACTTTCGGCCGCCGGCAGACGAACTCTCGAGATGTGGTCGAGCAAGCTTGTATCTTGTTCTGTATCATGTACTGAACCGGCCTTATTTCCATTTGCTAGTTCCATCACTTCACTTTCACCTCATTCAGGGGTATGGCGGTTGCCTTCTGTCCTGCGCCACCACACAAGCCCGCGCACCTCTTCTGGGGGTGGCTGAGGCGGATTGCCTTTGCTCCTGGCGTTACGCATTGGTGCTGTCGACGTCATCTTAGGATACTGGACAGTAGACAATTTGAAATAGTTCCGGATAGGGAGCAAACAGCCGGCAAGAGTAGCCGACAGCGGGTGCGCCAGAAAGTACACACTATGTAACCGTCAGCACATTCTTCCCTGCATCAGTAAGCCCACGGTGGAGCCAGCAAGGGAGGATGCTAGGGAACTATTGCGAGATAGGGAGTGGCGATAATCGCCATACACAAAAATGCAGCCCTCGTCCCACCAACTTGGAAGCGAAAAAAGGCAGTGAGGGAATTTGGCGAGTGTAGGGAGTAGCGAGAATCGCCACTTTACCAGCGCCATGGAAACGAAACGGTAGTGGCGTGTTGGTCACAATAAGGAAAGTTTTCTTGCGGAGAACACCGGAGAACGGAGGTGGTGGCATCTCCAAAAGCATTCCAAGTTTGGTCCTTCGAGAATGATGTATTAATCCTTTTGAAATTTTTTATGTCAGTTCTTTGCTTTTTTACATGCTTAAGATATGCTATCATTATGTCCACACTCTGTGGATAATCCATAATTCCATGACTTAGACAGCGGAAACATTAGTCTCGCAGTAAGCTGTGCAACATGCTGGCTTCGAGCCAAAGTCATGTTGCCAAACATCGAGGAACAGAAGGTGTTCTACCACCCGTTATTCATCATCCAAGCCTCAACGACTCATTTCTTTTTTTTCTTGCTTCTTGCCAATCATCCTTTCACCCAAGTCGAACGTAAAGCCGCGTTTCTAGGCTCGATCTTTTGCCACTCCGTATCATCAAAGGGAGGGCAAGGTGCACTGTGCCGCTGTCCCTTCAGAATATTGTGCCGACATTCCGGGATCCGGCATCCACTCTCCGGACCTAGCTCCATATAGAAAAATATACGACCCATTCCGGCGAAGTTCGCGAGCACATGTAACACATTGTTGATGCATAGCGACCTCCCCAATGCGCGTCGACGGTTGCCGGTTCAGTGTTGTTAATGCATCCCTATTTCAATCGATTGTCCACGAGACCCCTAGCCGCACCATCCACTATCCAAGGAGTACATGTGGATTATTGGCACGAAAACACTCGCGAAGTACGGCATGTGAAAGTCGGGGACCGTGTTACGAAAGATCGTCACGAGCGTTTGTCAGGAGGATCGAATCGCCTCGCGTGCTCTGCGTCTACAACAGCTTGCCTTGCTGGGTCGTAGGGTGCCAGTGGCCATGGAATTCGCCGGGATGAGCGCAGGAATCAAGTCGAATTCGTCAAGCGTATGAAGCCAGTGCTCGTCAAGCCACGTCGACGAAGAGGCTCTGTTGTTTGACGAGATTAGCGTGGCGGTGTAATGACGGAGGATTGATGCGGAGCGAGTTTGATTTGAATGAGATGATCAGGAGTACTGTCCGGGGAAGTGCAGAGCGAGGCGTAGGAGCTCGAGCTCTGTGGCGCAACATCGGCGAAAAAGCAAAAATCGCTATGCGCACGGACGTATAATATACGCGACCGGAACGGGAAGGCAATGATGAGTGGGTGTGGGTAATATGAGCCAATGGGTCATCAAGTTGGTGCGCGTGAAGGGCGGCGGGTGGGAGATGGGCGGTCTTTCCTGCTTAGGAGACATGTCTCATCTCCTGGTGTCGCGAAGTACCAGCCTCCGTTCAGCAGCCCCCGCTCCGTCTCGCGCCATTGCTCGAGTTTGCCACCCCTGGCGACCTTGGGATCGAGGTCGCCTAGCCGTGATTCGACGCGCCGACTGTCCCAGTGGACTTGGACATAAAGCGAGCAGTCGCGAAGCGTCATTGCCAGGAGGAAATCGTCGTCGGGGGGGTTTCCTTTGTAGCTTAGGATGCCGCGTGGGTCCAACATTCTCTGCAAATTGCGCAGGCCCTCAAGAACGCGGTATCCTTCTCCTTTCGTGCCATCGGGCTTTTTCTGGAAATGGTCGTGCAGGATAGCAATGAGATCCTCGCGCGATTTCGGGGCCGGTCGCTGGAGAGGAAATGTCGAGCTGCGACGTGTTTTCTGAGGCTGCAGCCACGTCGGTCTGCAGCCGACGTAATTCTCGTGGTTGTCAATTAACATCTCAATGGCGTCCTTGACGAGGGAGGGCTCGCCGGTAGCGAGCGATAGGGGACACTGGACGCCGTGGGTTTTCGACTCCTTCTTGCCCTCGCTCATGCGCTTAGCGCGCAGCGCGCAGGTGCGGCAGCGGGTTGCGCCCTCGGGGGCATGGGGCGATTGCCAAAGCCACTTCGGCTTGAATTCCAGCGTCACGCTCTTTTGTGGGTCGTCGCTCTCCATATCCCGCAGCACCAGGGCCTTGTCTGTTGCGTGCAGAGAGGTGCCGTGGCGGTTCGCATCACGCTTGCCCGTCCTTTCCTGGAGACGCAGCTCGCGGTTGCACTGGTCGATGATGTCGTTGCCAATGTTAATGAGGTCCTGCTCGACCAGATGGCGCGGGGGGATCCACTCGGCGACGGTGTTGATGTAGAAGTTGTAGGTGGTCTCGTCGTCCTGGTAGAAGGGCATCTCCTTCTTCAGGCGCAGCAGGGTGTCGCCGGCGCTGGTCAGGTTGTGCTGGTTGACGGCGCGGATGAAGTCGTGGGTGCGCTGGACGTGGCCGTTGTCGGCGTAGGCGGCGAGCAGCTCGCGGCGTTTCTTGCGCATCTCGCAATTGTAGCGGCGCTGCTTGCACGGGTCGTCGCTGTGGCACCAGTCCGGCTCGAGGGCGCCATAGGTCTCGGTGTTGCGCACGTCGAGTTTGGGCTCGTCGGAACCGGCGTCGCGAGAGGAATCCAGCGCCGCGATCCTAAAGATAACGTTCGCGTTGCCCTGGGCGAGTCAGCGGGGTCGTGGCGGCGTGCCTGTCTGCACCATCCTTACTTCCGTGCGGAACCTGAGTTCGACGTCCATCGGGCTGAGAGAAGCTGGTAGAACTGAAGACATACGAGGCGGCTGCCGCGCGAGTTTGGCGCGGATCACCATGGTCTGCGTGGCCGGGGTGGAGCGGTGGGGTTGTGGTAGTGGTGCTGTGCTGTGGGCGGCCTTGCAGAGCTGCACATGGTGCTGGGTATTGGGGAAGGGACGGGTGGTGTGACGGATTTTGGGGCGCGGGAGGCAGGCGCGATGGTGTCGGCGGCCGGAGCAGCAAGGAATGTGGTTGAAGTGACAGAGAATTGGCACGGCTGTTTTGACATCTGTGCGGCAGGGAAGCCCTGCTACTGCTGTGGCTTTGCATGGGGGTGATCGTTGCGTCAGTTGACTAGGATTAAAAGCTAGGGCTCTCCTAATTATAGGCAGCGGCTGCTGCATGGCTCACCTGCACGCAATCATCCACCGCCCTGCCTATAAAACCGCCCAACCACACGCCATGCCTTCTCCTGACCTCTCCGCGCTACCCACGCCGCCCGCCTGCACGGCCGACTTCTGCCTCATCCCGCTCGGCACCGCGACCGCCTCTGTGTCGCGCGAGGTCGCCGCGGTCCAGCGCCTGCTGCAGAGCTCCGGGCTCCACTACAGCATGCATTCTGCCGGCACTACCCTCGGTGAGTCCGCCCACGCAGGAGTGAGGCTGTGACGCTTATTGGTACGCGCAGAGGGCTCGTGGGATGATGTCATGAGGATTATAGGTCAAGCGCACACACTTTTGCACCAGCAAGGGACCGTCCGGATTCAGACGGATATTCGTGTTGGTTCTCGTACCGACAAGAAGCAGTCGTTTGAAGACAAGGTCGCCGCCGTCGAGAAGCTGCTCGCCGCCGACCAGGAGTAGGGCTGCGAGGGAGGGAGACGCTCTGCCTGCCGACTTCCGAGCAGGAGCCCGTACGGCACCTGCGGCTGACCTTGGCGCCCTCTGAATCAGGAGGCCAATCTCCCACCTGCAGGGCTGTGGAGAAACCAGCCACGCCGCATAGGGAGGCCACGAGGCGGCAGGCCGTCACGTGTAGGTGGCTAAGCAGATCGACAAATACGATTCGGAAATGCCGCTGAACCAGCTTCTCCATGCGCCGTGCTCTTGCCCATGTGGGGTGATTCCCGCATCTTCCCGTACTTCGTTTCCAGCAGTCCGGGTCATTCGCGAGCGCAGCTGCGGCTCAAATCATGTGGCTTGCATCCATACTAAACGTGTCAAAAGGCAACCTGCCGGGGCTCAAATCTTTAGGCGCAGGGAAATTAAACGGACTCGAGCTGCGAGCAAACAAACGTCAGCTTACACCCTAGCACGACGCCTCATTGCGGGCATGTGGACAAGCTAAAGGGGAAGCTAATTGTGAGTGGCAGATGCCGCTTGGACGGCTGCATGCACGTTGGGTCAAGCTTCCAGTTCAAGACGCGCAGCTCTTGGCCTGCGAATTATTATCCCCTATTCCAGATCGACTGATGGTGCTCTTTTGCCCTGGCCCTGCGTGTCAGGTAGAAGGCCCTTCGCGCTGAAAGGATTGGAGCATGCTGCTGCATGAAGTTGCTTTGCTAACGTAGAAAGGAGCAGGCCTCCGTTGCTGACGCAGCCAACGCGGCCACGCGACGTTGCACACGTGTAGCTAAGGGGTTTCGTATGTCACACCGCATAGAACAGCGTTTGGCAAGCGCGCGCGTCTTTGGCTTCACTGCGCAGTGAATAGAAGTAGATGCGTGCGGACGCACGCTCACTCAGCTCACCTTCTTCGAAGCTTCCATGGCATGCTGGCCTCCAAGTGGCACTGGGCAGGCGCGCCGTTCCACGATTGTTCTAGAACCACATCATCCCTGCCACCGGGGCGCCCAGTGATCCGGAACGCCGTTTCAGAGGCTGCAGCTTCTATCCGAAACCATGTCCCACTTTAAATCCATCGCGTCCTCACCCCGCTGCGTCTTTGACAGAGTTTGCTCCTTGCAGCGCATGTGACTAACTTTCTAGACCAGTCTGCGTCCATCTCACAGCAGCGCGCTACGGGCGCTGTTTGACATCCTCCGCATTTTCTCCGCCGGGAGCCGTTCCGGAAGCTGCCGCACAAGCACACAACCGAGACTTGAACTTGTCCACGTGCTATACCACCTGTCCTGAGAACTTTGCACTTTGACATATGGGCGGTCATTCGTGAGTACTTGAAGCCCTGGCTCATGGAAAATAAACCAAATAAAACGTGAATCATTCAAACAGCCGAGCTTTCGGGCTATGTATCAGTCTTGCTGCAGATGAACACCTCTCTCTATCATTTGCTACAGCATCTCTTCCCGAATCTAACCTACTGCAACGTACTTGTGCGATCCGTCCATTTGTGAAAAATGGGTTCACAAATGAAATTCATAGTCCGTGCGCTATCGAACTACAACTCCCTCACAGCGTGAATTTCGGCGTGCATTACTGCGTGCCTGATTAAATGCTAACCGCAAACTCTGCACCTCCCTAAACTTCGAGATATTCATTCCGCGAAAAGAGGCACTGATTATACCCATGTAGTCTCTCACTCATCGTTCGTAGACAAACGATGCTGTACTTGCGTAGCCACTTTCGAACGGTACTAATAATAGGGAATCAATAGAAGGTAAACCAGAGCTTAACTCTGCTACTAAACTCATATAAGAGCGTTAACCATTTCGCATGTAGTAAAGTACATACATATTTCTAACTAGTGCCCTCAAAAAGAAAATCTGTAGTAAACTAAGTAATACCAAGGAACTGACGTCCTGATAGAGCCTACACTTCGACGATAAGGTCGACCGTCCGCTACCAGCTCGTTAAGTAAGAACATGGGTCAGAGGACTGCGTCTTTGGTTCAGAAAATGTTTTTTTCCCCTTTAGGTACCAGTGTACCATGGGTTCCAAAAAAAAACCCTGTTGAGAATTTTCATGTTTATTCAAACATTGTGGCTTCTATTCTCGACTTTAATCCAACATTTACGTCACAAGACGGCCTCCGCCACGTACACAACTCCAAACACAGCTTCTTGTCATCACAGCCTAGCAACAGCCACGTTCCTTATCCAACGGATCGCTTTCTACACCTTGCGAAGGTGGCCTGTAGGCCCTCCTCCGTTCGCTTTTGTTTTTTCTATGCTTTGGCAAAGCCTTTACAAGCTCGCCCCAACATCCAACAACTTATGAGAGCCAAAGATGTCTCGACCATACGAAACCCCCGCAGCAGAGAGTCATCTTTGCCGTCCACGATGTGCCCTCACTGTAGAGGAATATAAAAGGATGGCTCAAGATAAGCTTGCCCAACCCACCGCCGTACCAGCCAGCTCGACGAACGGAAGTTCAGAGACACGGAACTCTCCCACAGTACACAGACGTCCGCGGTGGGCCTCCCTGCAGCAAGATAACAAAGACAACTCCAAGTCCAGTCCCACCAAACCACGATCATCAACAGCGCCTGCAGCAGTGACTGAGCAGCTGAGTGCCGCTCCCACAACCTCCACTGCCACTACTGCTTTCACCACTTCGACGAAAGAGCCACAAACCCCCAAGCCTCCCATACCCCCATCACAGCTGCAAAATAAACCCACAAAGGCGGCCGTATCAAATGCACCACAACCACCACAACAACAAACGACGATGCTAGCATCCAAGCCACACGAGAACCCACCTCGCCCTCGCTGGTTCCCTCCTGTCCAACCTTCCACCTCTTCTCCTACTCCGCCCACCACCACTACCACTCAGCCTCTCCCACTCCCATGTTCCCTCCGCCACCCCAGCCCCACAACAAGATCATCCAGACCTCGCCAACGCACCACGCTCATCGTGCCCCACTCTCTCCGGCACCTCAGAGCAGAGCTCGCCATCGCTGTCATCAACACCACCACCACCACCACCAGCGGCGGCGGCGACGACGACGACGATATTGATGGCGCCGACAGCGACGCCAGCGCCAACACGACGTTCTCGCGGCGTGTGCGGCGGCGGGCCAGAGCAGAGCGGGACTTGCGCGAGGAGTGGGTGGACGTGGGGGAGGAGGCGTATGGGCATGCGCGGCGGGCGCCGGTGGCAGATAGGAGCTCGGCGACCGACAGTGGCGGCGGCAGCGACGCCGAGGGCGGGCAGTGGGAGGGGTTGAATGGGGAGAAGGAGCTGGAAGTCAGCTCTTTTGAGGAGGAGAAGGAGAGGAGGAGGATAAAGAAGGAGGCGAGGGCCGAGAGGAGGAGGAGAGGGGTTTGGAGGGATGTGGATGGGCTAGAGGAGGACGGGGAGGATGGTGATGAGGAGGAAGGGGATGATGAGATTGAGGAGTGGGAGGAGGTCGAGAAGGAGGAAGCAAGGGGGCCAGAGTCCTCGTTGTCCGCACTGAGGTTCATGGATCAAGTGTTTAAGACTTTATCGAAGCTCTGAGCGAGTTGAGAGAAGAGGAATGGATGTGGACCGTGCTAGGAAAGAGTGGACTAAAAGCGTAAATTGTAATGTACAATGGATCTTAAACCAACTCCTTCCAAGACATCAGGGCGTTGTTCAATGTACTTTAGGTCTCCAACATAAAAAAAAAGGAGCCTGCGATCCGTTCAGAAACTAAAGGAATATTTTCATCATTCGATGTGGTGGGGAACTGGTAAAGCCCCTATTTTCTGAGGCCCTGCTATTCTTCGCGCTAGCATTCGGCTGCAATACCCCTCTGTATGTGAATGTCTTTACGGGCGATGCCATTGCGAAACCTATCTACACGCTGGGCCTTGATCCGGATCACCACTTTCATCACCAGTCCCAAGCTTTCCGTTGCTTGCCAGCTCAGGAGGAGATTTAGGAGCATCTAGCTCCGATGTCGATGCACGCCCTTCGTTTGTGTCCTGGGCTTGAGCAAAGCTGAATTTCTCATTCTCCAAATTTCCACTGCCTGAACCCGCTGCAGTATATCCCACCTCAGCCTTTTCGCCCACCAGAGTCCGAAGTGATCTGTTAGTCCTCTAACCAACTGTCTTGGGTCCATCAAAGGCTTGCCAGCCGCCTTGACCCATAGGTTGTTCGCGAACTGGATCATCTCCAGAATGGAGTAGCGGACATTCGCAGCAGAGCGGCGATTGTAGGCACGAACACTCCGACCACGTCCGAAGAGATGGCTTAATTGCAAACACAGCTCCCACGTTACGATCTTGGAACTGACGTACACCCCGCGTGCGCGAAGCGCCAGGCAAAGCCGGAGTCCCTGCGCCCAGTAGTGCGGCGGCTTCTTGCTCTTGGCGGGATTGGCCGGGCTCGGAAGGACTAGACCACGACGTACGCCCCACGCAATGAATGCGCGGAGCTGCTGGTTCGTGAAAATCTGACGGAGAGGATGAAGTGGGTTGGTCGGCTCGAGGGCACGTTGGAGGATTGGTACAGAATCTTCTTGCTGACGTTGAAGCAAATTCTGAAGGGTCCCTGGGCTGGTAGAGAACCTGTGCGGGGAGTACCAGTCGGCCAGCCAGAGCGCGAGTTTGGCGACTTCAGCGAAGCGCTCCGTCATCCCGTAGCGCTTAAAGATCTCGATCCAGCGCTCAGGCCCGACTTGGCCGCCTGAGGCAAGCGTGCCGCGCCAAATGTTTGCGATCAACGTGGTGTCGTCGTAGTCCAGGGCACCGGCAGCAGGCGCGTTTCCTTTAGATCTTGAACGAAGCTGGTAGACTTGAAGCGCACTCAGAGATCCTTCTGTCAATGAGATGCTCTGTGACACCATGTCATCGAGAATCTTGCAGAGCATACGGGTGTGCCGCAAAGAGGAAAGCTTTTGTACCAGAATGTTCCATTGTTCCCTGACTGGATCTTCGTGGAAGACTGTCAAAATTGCCAAGGTCCTGTGCACCTCGTCCCAAGCTCCTCTTTCGATGAAAGTGCTAAGCAGCTTACGCTGCAAATCATGGTCCTCGAAAGCATCTGGGTGCTGATCTGTCGTGATCAAAGATTTGATGAGATCTTTCCGGCCATTATCAGCAAATTTTCGGATAGCCTGAGAGTAGACGGCATTGCCAATAGAGACGCCTGCTTCATTCAATCTCTGAATGCAATGGGATATCTTCTCAGGATCTACCGTCCTCGAGGCCATTTCACGTAGCGCTAGTGGCCCGATCTCATCAATTCCAAACATAGCCAAACCGCGAATGACGACGTCTATTGAGAAAGCTTTGGTGGCAAAAATTCTGGCGCAAAAGTGATCGTCCAGTCGCTTCGGTTCAACTCCATGAACTTCTCCAAGGACTCTGTTCATGGATTCCCTAGAAAAATGGATGGATTCTTGACCCCGAGGGTCAGCAGTAGTGCTCTGCTTGGTGTTCTGCGCTTCTCCGACCCCCAGCAAAAGTTCCCGGAATGTAAGCTCCAGGGCAGAGCCCGAGTTTGTTCCAGTTGGGAGGTCGTTCATCCTGACCAACCAGTTGTGACATCGCAGCGCTCTATGCCACTGTTTCTTGCTACAAAGGGTAGGAATGAGAACATCGTACACATTGCGTTCGTGATTGCGGACGTAAATGTAGCTAAAGGCCTCCAAGGATTTTTTGGAGTCGACACAAGAGGCAATTCGGCGCATTGCGCCATCTTGTGGAGGGAAGGCTGAGGACAGCTTGTGATGCCACTTGTGAGCGTCCATGAACCTCGTTGATTTGGTTTCGCTAAGGCAACGACGAATGACGACCTCATACAGCGGCTTGTAAAAAAAGCCGGTCCGGGTCTTGAGATCCTCTGCGTAAGCAACCGCATCAGGGAGCGTTTGATTATCAGAAAGGAAAATGACCCAGAAGGATTGCGCGGTGGGGCCAATCGTTGGCAAATCCAGGTTGTATTGCCTCAGCTCTTTCCAGACAGCCTGAACCCCATCGCTTCCCTGCAACCTTTGCCTAAAAAGCAGGATCCGTAGCCACTTCTCGATATAGGTATTGGCCCCATCCTTCGGGGTTTCAACATGTGTCCCCGAGACCGAAGTAGAGTCAAGGGTATTGGACCCGGGAGTTGGAGGCAATCCATTCTCATGTTCTTCTGCGGAGGTCCTCGAAGATGCGTATGTGCGACTCGCATGCCCTTGTCGTCCGAGAGAAACCTTTGAAGGTAGTCGGCAGTGCGCGCGCGCGACGGAGGCGAACGAGAGCTCTTTTTCGGTTACGAGGTGTCGAAGAATCCGCAATGTCGTGGGTCTGGCGAGCAGCCGGTCCAATGCTTTACGCATTGCCTGGTAACGTTGAGGGTTACGAAGAGTCCCTCCGACATGACATCGGATGGGTAGACAACAGCGCAAAATAGCGGCAGGGGAAGAGACGGGTCGTGGTTTTGATGGACAAATCCGCGCCAAGGCATTGGATGCCTCTGCGCCGGGCCGAAGGTTTATCCGTGCTCCGGGCTTGGCGTGCTTTGCGATCAGTCGATACAACGACTCTGCCATCTCCAAGCTCACAGCCCATCCAATTGCATCCTCTCCGCTCTTCCGCTCCCACCAACTCGATCAACATGGCCGGGTGAGTCGTCCTGCTCCTCCGCAGTGGTTCCGCACCGCGCGCGCCCGCTGCCCGCTGCGCCCATGGGACCCGGCTGAGCTTGGTCATCCCTTCCGTATGCCCGCAGCTTGCTAATTCCGGTGCAGCTTTGTCAACCGCGAGAACCGCGTTCCCTACTACCAGCGCCTCTTCCAGAAGCACGACGGCGTCAGGCAGTGGCAGAAGGTGAGCTCCGCCGGAAACCCCCGTTGAAGACCGCCGAACTGTACCCCACGCCGAATTCTACGTCATCCCGCATACCTTAAATCACAACATACGGAGGGCTCGGGGTTACTTTTTGGATCCAGGCTGATGCTCTTCGCCAGACCTCCCGCAGCAGGGCCATCCTCCTCCCCTACCACGCCATGCTCTGGGGTGGCTTCGCCGCTAGCATGTACATGATGTGCCGCCAGGTTCTGGTACGTTGGCTCGTCTGTGGTCTGCAGGGCAGCTCTAATGATATACTACAGGGCAAGAAGACTTGGTACTAAATCAGCGTCAATCTGCGGCCGGGATCATCGGGTGGTTAGCCTTGCGCATCCGCGCTTGTACAGTCTAGACAATCGATCCCTACAACTCTATCCTCGTTCGCACTCGAAGAGGGAACGCTAAACACTCAATCTCGCTCTTATACCCACAAGCAACCAGGACTGTCGGGATCTGCTGGAAGGCCATTGATGCTCCAGACCTGCTAACATTGGTTGACTGGACTGCTTTCCAGTTGCATTTTCCTTCCAATCTTCATTTGATCCGTTCACGGATAGTGCTCCATCGCGGCTAATGGCGGTACCCGATGCCACTGATAAGGCTGTGCGGGCACGCTATTGACCATTTCCAAATGAGGCTACTCCTCAACAGCATGGCCTTCACTACAATCGGCATACAAGAAGAGTGTCGCAGCACAACGAAAAGCCTATATCATGCAAAATTTGGGCGGATCCGCCTGTAAAACGTTTGCTCCAAATCCACTACTCACTCCCCTTATACAGGGATTGCAACTGATTCAGTCCAGCTCGCTGGCCCTCGTCACATTGTCAAGATCTGAACTTGCAGGCAGCGAAACCCTACGTGAATCTGAAATGTGTCCAGAGAAGCAGCCAGCTGGCCGTGTTTGCATCTTGTGGCCACGCCCCAATCGCAGGAGTCTCCTAATAGCGCATCACGGGTATGGCGTGATGTAAAACCGACACTTTGAGGATTTTGCTAAGGAGTCAACTGGTTCGCAGCCATGCGTTCCAAAGACTAGAGCAGATTTGTCTCGGCATATGGGGACTGAAGGCGGATGAATGCAATGGAAAGGCTGACGAGGTAAGGAAAATGCCATCTGTGTAGAAAAAAGTACGTCGTTCTTGTAAGCGCATGCTTTGAAGAGTCACGGGCTTACTCGTTAAACGCGTCGCTTGAATCATCCACCAATGGCAGTCAGGCCACAGGATTCCAGAACACCTTCATCAGGCCATGGCCGGGAGACTGAAGGATCACGCCCTTGTTGTCTTCACTCAATCTGCCTCTTCTCTCACGGTTATCACCCGTTCGCGGTCTTCGCCTTCTCGGTTTTGTGCGCCGCAACGCGTTAGGATTCGACGTGTTCTGAGATCTTTCACCGGCTACCCCGGGTGGCGCTAGGTCGTAGATTGGTCGTGACGGGTCGTTGCCTCACCGGCCATATGGTTGTTCAAGACCAGTCCCACAACGGCAGGGATTTGTCGTTCGGTCACGATGACAAGAACGGACGCCACTTCGCTCCAGTACCACAGAAGAAGCAGGGAAGTGCTCAGGCACGGCGAAACATGGCTGAGGTCATCAACAGGATTTCCCCGGCAGTGCCTGTCGAACCAGGTTGTTGGGCGCCAGCATCCTTGCCAAGGTGCCACGCCCACGCTCCGAAGCCACGCACTTGGCACACCCGCATGGTCAAACAGGAAAACTGGAGAACTGGAGACGCAGAGATACGCTCCGGATCTCCAGTGGGCGCGTGCCGCCGCGAGCATCTTAAAATTTTCACACACGGGGCTCCGCAAGGGCAAGCAGGATCCAACAAGGCCGGCCGAAAAGTGCCGACGGCTTCGAAGCCAGCTGACGTAGGATCGCCACCGCGCAAGCTCGAAGGGGGCCGGCACGAGAGCATCGTGAAGGGCAGAAAAAGCAGGGTTCCACGGAGGCGTTGCATTGCTTGGGAAGGAGTGGGCCGAGCACGAGTCTGGGCTTCGTACAGCTTCACCGCTTTTGGATATGAGCCCGGCAAATGTCGGGATTGCGTTTCCATGCGGCGCAACAGCGGCAACACCACCAGCCTTTTTCGTTGCAAGCGCGGCGTGCTTTTGGCAAGGCGAGAGAAGGTCAAGAGAGGGACTTTTGAGCAGAAAATGTCTCACGACGTCATACGATTGCACGCTCGAAGAGGCACTTCCCCAGGATTTCTTCTCCGGATTTCGCATGGGTCACGTGGGCTGCGGCGTCGACAACAGTGAGCAATTCTGGCGAAACGGGAAGCATTCGAGGTGAGCTGGTCGGTTTGGAGGCGGCGGCAGTGGCAGAAGGGCCCGGATTGGGCGTTTCTGGGGCTCAGACTGGCCCCGAGCGCCGTTGGTTCGATTAAGGTTCTGGAAAAGGCGGCGGCCAAGGGATGGCTGCGGGAAAGGCTGCTTGGCGGCACGCGTGCGGGAGATCTGTACGGGTAAGGCTGAGCATCGTGAGTTTATCCAGAGGGCGAGGGAAGCAATTCGCGTTGTTGTTCGTCCGGATAATTTGGGCAGGCTCATGATCTCCAGGCTCGCAGGTTGATTCCCGTGGGGAGGCGAAGCGCGGAGCCCCCCTTTACTCCGCGCCCGCACTTTCTCCGACGACGTGCCACGGGGAGCTCACCGCGGAGCAGAGTGGGTCTGGAGTCCGGGACTCGCGTCGAAAAAAGCGTCCAGCGCCGGCAATTGCCATCCACGACGTCGCCCGCGCCCTTCACGCCACGATAATTGCGCGCACTCCTTCAGGCCGCGATGTGGGCCGCGCGACCGTTTGCCGCCCAGGCCCAAGCGCCCCCGGCAGCGAACAAGCAGCGGGCGGGCGCTGCATAAGCGTGCGCAAGAGTCAGTCAAGCAGCGGCTCCCGCCCTTGGCTGACGACGTCGCGAGGGCAGCGCAACCCAACAAATTCGCCGGCGTCGGCAACGGCGCAGAAGCCGACCAGCAACGGGCGCGGGTGACATGCGCCGACGCAAAGAGGCGTTGAGTGCCCATCAGCCGCCGACATCACGCTACGGTTGGCTCATTGGGCGCCCAGAGCCGCAATCAGAAACGGAGCACCCCTCCACTACGCCTGTCTGCTCCGGGGCTAACCCCCAGCACAGTGCCTGCAAATCGGCCCGGCGCTCAGCGAACGACGGGGCACTCCAGTCCTCCGCAGTCCGACCAGCGGGGCCCGGGGTGTCACCAGTTTCTGCAGTCAAGGGCGAGACGATCAGAGCCGGCCGCCCATAAAGCCCTCCCCAATCCGCAATTGACGGCGCTTCCTCCTGCCTCATTCACTCCTCTGCCTTCCTGCGCCTGATACCCCGGCAGGTCTTGTTTCTTTTTCCCTCGATCCGGCAACTCTTTCCACCATGTCCGAGATCAAGCCCTCGGACAAGACCACCGACGCCTCCCACGTGGAGAAGCACGCGCCCACCAACCACGAGTTGATCGAGGAGGCTGTCCGCACGGGCAGCGTTCCTCAGGTCAAGAGCGAGGCCGATGCCATTGCCATTGCCAAGAACGGCAGCTGGGAGGTCGACGCCCTGATCCGCCAATTGGAGGACGACCACAAGGCCGAGGGCTACAAGAAGGGCATGTTCGATCTCGAGTTCAAGAACCCGAAGCACTTCACATGGCTGCTGGTCACCTTCGCTTCCATGGGTGGTCTGCTCTCGGGCCTTGACCAGTCCCTGATCTCCGGCGCGAACCTGTTCCTGCCCGAGGATCTGGGTCTGAACGACTCGCAGAACAGTTTGGTCAACGCCGGCATGCCGCTTGGCGCCGTCGCCGGTGCTCTGCTGCTGTCGCCCGCCAACGAATGGTTCGGCCGCCGCTGGTCCATCATCATCTCATGCGTCTTCTACACCATTGGCGGCGCGCTTTGCGCCGGTTCCATGAACTTCGCCATGATCGTCGTCGCCCGTCTGCTGCTCGGCGTTGGTGTTGGTCTCGAGGGCGGTACCGTCCCCGTCTACGTCGCCGAGACTGTCGAGAGGAGACTCCGTGGAAACATGGTCTCCCTTTACCAGTTCAACATTGCTCTTGGCGAGGTCTTGGGTTACGTCGTCGCTGCCATCTTCCTGAAGGTCCCTGGCAACTGGCGCTACATCCTGGGTTCATCCCTTGTTTTCTCCACCATCATGCTTATCGGGTAAGCCGCCACTTTTATCTTGACCATAGTACCCATCTAACACTGCAACAGTATGCTCTTCATGCCCGAATCTCCTCGTTTCTACATGCACAAGGGTGAGACCCTGAAGGCCTTCAAGGTCTGGAAGCGCATTCGTGGTCTTGAGACTGCCGACTCTCGCGAGGAGTTCTTCGTCATGAAGGCTTCGCAGGAGCAGGAGGACGCCGAGATTGCCGCTGGCGCCAGCAACAGGCGCTTCCCCTGGCTCGACTTCATCACTGTGCCCCGTGCTCGTCGTGCCATCGTCTACGCCAACATCATGATCTTCCTCGGCCAGTTCACTGGTATCAACGCAATCATGTACTACATGTCCATTCTGATGAGCGACATCGGTTTCGACAAGATCCAGGCCAATTACATGTCTCTCGTCGGCGGTGGCTCCCTCCTGCTCGGCACCATCCCTGCCGTCCTGTACATGGAACGCTGCGGTCGTCGCTTCTGGGCCATTGCTATGCTTCCCGGTTTCTTCATTGGTCTTATTCTCTGCGGTGTCTCTGAGTATGCCGGTAGCGTCACGAACCAGCAGGCTGTGTACCTCACTGGTATCATCATCTACCAGGGCTTCTTCGGCTCGTACGCCACGCTCACCTGGGTAAGTTCTTGACACGTCCGATTACTCTCAAATGCCTTCCGAGCTAACGTTCTCGAACAGGTTGTTCCTAGCGAGGCCTACCCCACGTACCTCCGTTCCTACGGCATGACGACCTCGGACGGCTGGCTCTTCCTGTCGTCCTTCATCGTCACGTACAACTTCGACCGCATGAAGAACGCCATGACCCGCATTGGTCTCACTCTCGGTTTCTACGGTGGTATCGCCATCCTGGGTTGGTTCTACCAGCTGTTCTTCATGCCCGAGACCAAGGACAAGACGCTCGAGGAGATCGACCTCATCTTCCAGAAGCCCACGCGCGAGATCGTCGCCGAGAACTGGATCCAGGTCAAGGAGACGACCAGCGACCTGCTCGCTTTCAGGTGGAAGAAGGTCTTCACCTTCGACAAGCCGAAGCAGAACATGGGTGATGATGAGTAGAGCAGTGGAAGAGTTGGTGTTTTTTTGGAGCAGAGATTGCCATGATACCTCTTTACTTAATAGTTTTGCCTGCAGTCTCCGGTGGATGAGATGAGCGGAGATGGAGTCGCAGTAATGATACCAATATGATGAGTTTATGAACATACACTGGCCCCACTGATCAGCCTTGCCTGAATTCCTTCGGAAAATCACTTGAATCCGGTGTGACGGTACTTATGTTAGAGAATGCTTATACCACAATAAGTCCATAACAAAAGGCATACCTGACACCCGGAAGCCTGGGTGCTAAACCAGTCGTTTGTCTCTTCCACATCCAGACCAATTTCCCTATTCAGCTTAGTCGATCAGTAAGCTATCTTACATATTTTCGCATTCATTTCCAGTTGAATTTCGCTTTCCCTAAAACCAATTCGTGAAAGGTTGTAGTAGCCTGCTCTCATGAGTAGTCGAGATCTACATGGGATCAGAATACACTACATCTCATGTCTATGTCTAGACGTTCCCTTAGATTGTCTGTCCATCTCGGAAAAAATTGGTGCAAGGAGGCTGCGTCCATCACGGCACTCGCCGCCCACGCATTATTCTGTGCTACAACGAATGGTATGACAGGCACGTATTTTATAGTGCTAACGGTGGGTGCCTGCAGACACGAGGCTGGGCTGAAGGACGCCCCTTCCCGATTTGGAAGCCAAGCTGAAACAACCCAGCCTGATCAGGTAGTGTAGCACAAACACCAAGAAGCCCATCTTGGTCGGGTTTCAGCCTGAATATTAGTCAAGGATGCTCGCCTGCGTTTGCCTTGTTGGCTGTCTCTTCTCACAGGCCATATTGCACAGCACGGCTTTTGCCGTCAGTTCAGGGCAATCGGCCTCGTCACTGCTGTGACTTGGGCACCACATCAGTATCTTTGGTTCGAAAATACTGATTGAATAGAACGCGACCATATAAGGCAAATATCACCAGCGTTTTAATCCTTGCTGCCAGTCCGTGTTAAACTTTGATTCTACGGATGCTGTCTAAGGAAGCCTCTGCCGTGAAATCCGTTAGCAGCACGTGGGAATTACCAAGCAAGTTCTCGGACTGCAGCTGGGATGCATGGCGTCGGCGTGGCTGAAAGGTAGAGTTCTGATTAGCTACACCGTTCCTGGCACCACCTCAGTTGAGCTTCCACGGAGGTATGCAGGAGCTATCAATTTCGGAAGCTAGTAAGCTGCCACATCGCTGCCTAAAGTCGGAGGGCACACATTACGGATCATAAGTATCGTGGTGGGATGCTGTCGGGCTTGCCATGCACTACGCTACACGCGGTGCTCCAGAGCTTCTACAAACATTCAGTGAGGTATCGTTTTGTTTCGAAATTGCAGCAACGCGTGCTAACCTTCCAAAGGCGACGCTGATACAATGCTGCATCTTTCCGTCTCCAGCAGCATCATTCGTCTGCTTCTGCGTGTCTACTTTACCGTCATTGTCGTCGCCATCGCGCTTCTTGGAGATGTGTGCTGCAATCTCTGGGTGCGCAGACAGCTGCTGCGACGGCGGCCGGTGAAATTGACGCACATGACGGGATGGCAGCGAGGGTTCATGCCGTACTGGCTGATACTCAAGCTCAGGGCCATGCCCGGCGGCATCATCCTGGGGTCGTTGATGATCATGACTTCGATCCTGGCCGTCTTCAGCGACCTGGCCGTGTCGGCGCTGGTCTTGGACCAGCACATCCCCGGCACCTGCATGTTCCGCGGGGGCATGGTCGTCGCCTCGGACCACCCGTCCGCGTCCGACGCGGCCAACACCATCAGCATCTTCCCCGACATCAACGGCGAAGCGTTCGGCTGGGCGATGAGTGCGCAGTACTACAGTGTCTTGAACGGCGGGCCCAACGGCATCTACCGGCGCGTCGACGACAATTTGGACTTCCGGGCGCGCGACCCGGAGGACATGCTCGGATCGTGGGTCTGCGAGTACGAGACGGGCGACGCGCTGACGCCGCTGATGGTGGCGTGGGACACGGCCTACATCGACGTAGTCAACGGCTCCGTCGCGGCGGGCAAGCTGTATCCCTACACGCAACTCGACCAGATCCGCGTCTTCACCGACGCCCTGGCCAACGACCCGGACCCGACCGACTACTCGCAGCTCTTCGCTTTGACGGCGTCAACGGCCGGATACCACACGGCAGAGGAGAGACCCGGCGACGCCTGGGACGTCCGGGCCCTGATCGACTGGAACCGCACGGGTACGGCGGAGCGCAGCTTCGACGTGCTGCACTGCACCGTGGGCGGCGCCGACAAGGCCTTCGTCGACGAGGTGCTGGCCCACGTCGACGCGGCGCAGGCGCTGGCGTCGTGGGCGGCGGCGGTGCAGGGCTCCATGTACCGCGGCGTGGGCGGCGCGGCCTACAACGACACGGCGACGCGGCTGGTCAAGTACCTCAACGCCATGGTCATGGTCGCCGCGTCCGAGCAGCGCGTCGACCGCTTGCCGAACCCCTTGGACCGCGTCGGCTGCATGGTCGAGGCGACAGAGGTGCCGGCCCTCATCTCGGCCCTGGTGCTGCTGACGGCCGCCGTCTTCGCCTGGCTCTGCGCCTACAACGCCTTCCTGCTCGTCGCCTGCTGCGTCTACAAGTCGAGCTACCGCAAGGATGCCCGCAAGAAGGTGTGGGATCAGACGCCCGGCTCGCTGACTGAGTGGATGGCCTACGCGCTGCGCGAGTCGAGGGTCCCGGCCGCCCACGACGCCATGCCGAAGCACTTGAAGGGCTGGAATTTTGTCGCCGAGTTGAGCGGCGCTGCTTGGGTCCGTTTCTCGAAGAGAGACGCAGCGGAATCTCCGGTCTCGGTTCAGTATGAGTACGTCCAGCCGCCAAAGGTCGCCATGTAGAGCCGTCGTTCCTTTCGTGGTTGTTGTTTTCCACTGATGCTGGTCGGGCAGTGGTGGCGATGCAGAGTTGTAATGAAAAGGGTCGATGTTGATGGTTCACAGCCTTGTCAGTTCAAATCGTGCGGTGCATGTTTCAGGACGCGATGGCAAGGCAGCTTCATGAGTGACAGTTAGCGCGAAGATTACGGCGTCCCAAATAAGGGGATCTCGATGCTGCACCTTGCCAAGTTAGGCAGTGCACAGACCAGTATTGAACTGGAAGTCCGCCTTGCACAAGTCAAACCTTCCGATTTGACCGAAAAGGAATGACATCCCGTCGCTCGCTTAAGGGCGGGGCTGTGCCCTGTGGCTGTCTTCCAGAAGTAACATGCACTGGCCTGGAGCTTAATCTCGGGCCCTTGGCCGGTGCTTCGACCGCCTTAGCTCTGCAGCTGAGAGAAAAGAACAGAAAAAGTGAACTCAATCCCGTCATAAATATTATTGGTCTCAAACTGCCTGAGCGCGCGAGCAATTAAGAGCAATAGAGCTCTTAGTCCTCCTAGGTTTTATTAGATCTTCTGAGCAATCGGCTGAGAGCCGGAAGTCAGACATAGTCTCCAGACCGTCATGGACAACGAAAAGTCAGTAACGTCTCGACACAAAGCAAGAGTGAAAAGCCGGCCAAGGATGCGCGGATGGATCGCACGGCATTGCAGCCGTTTACAAGACACTGACTAGTCGTTGAAGTGTTGGCATACATGCAAATGAAGACTAAGATTGCTGTCAAGAGCGCACTGTTGTGTCCCACTGTCAAGCGCAACAGCCTTGCCGCAAGTGATGAATGGCATTGGCTTGCGACAAATGGCTGAGGGACAAGAATAAGAGGCGATGAATGTTGCGTGACGAGCTGAGCACGGATTCAGCCTTGCTTAAACTAGTTCCCGGGCTCTAGCCTGTTCCTTGCGAGGTTACTGCGGAGAGCTCTTGCCGGTCCCGTTAAGCGGATTAGCGCGTCTAAGGGCCCCCTGGAGAGCAGATGTCGGGCTGAATTTTGCAACTGACTAGAGATGGAATTATGCCGGGGCGCACTCATTCTCTAAACACACACCTCTTAGGCCACCAGGCTCTTTCAACTATAGGTAATAAGAAAGACTCGCTTCTTTTCATCGCACAGCCTCGCGCTGCTGGTGTGGGGTGATGACATTGCCGATTGCTTACCGAGTTCGATAGTCGGATCACTGCACCACGGATGCTGAAGCCGAGTAGGATTTCAGAAACGGTCGCACCGAGACACAGGAAAATAGGGTTGATTGACGTTAGCCAATAATATGCATGGTGCTGCCCGTTGTACAGCTTGGCTGTGGATCAACCCCCCCTACGCGAGGCTGTCCGCATGGACCAAGGCAGAACTGTTCGTATTGGTCAGCGGCCCTAACCCAGTGGTGCATACACAGCCAGCCGGCAGTGCATCTTTGGACTCCGTTTCTTAGTTTCATGTCGCACATATGTAAACCTTGGCCCGGCATGCTGTTGACGGGAGCCAAACCACTGCTTGTCCAGCTCAAGCATCGACTTCATCCTCTCTACACTCGTTTGTACTACCAGCGCCACCTTTTACCCAGACACCAGACTTGCCCGACATCCACCTTCATTCAAAGATGGCCACCGAAATCATCCCACCTATTGTCACCCTCGTGGTGTTTGTCTTCGCCACTGCATTCACGGCCTACAAGGCTTATCGCCACGGCACATGGATTTTCTGGTCCCTCATCCTAAGCGGCATATGTAGGTTTTCTCTGAACCCAGCATGGCGCAATATTGTCCAAAGTTACTTATCCGCCATCGGCAGTCCTGATCGTTGGCTACTCGATCCGCGCCGCCTGGTACAACCAAGGATACGTAGACATCTACGAAGAGCCCGGCTACATGTTCCTAACGCTCATCTTCGACTCGTACGTCTCCCTCCCACTTTCCACAAGCCCATCATCTAAACCGTCAAAACGAAAACCCGACTAACCACTATTCCCTCCCGCCCCCCAAACAGCTTCGCCGCCCTCTCCCTTACGCACACACTCTTCACGCTCTTCGTCCGCCTCGTCTGGCACGCCTCGCCGCCAGCGCTCCTCACCGCCCGCAAGCCGCTCCTCTTCCACCCGCGCTACGCCTTCCGCTGGATGAACGCCTTCCTCGTGCTCTTCGCCCTCGTGCAGTGCGTCCCCATCTGGGTCTTCGTCTGGGCCGCCCTGGTCGCCCAGACCATCCTGCTGCTCGTCTTCATCGGCTTCGTCGTGAGGTTCAAGAAGGTGGTGCTGGGCGGCAAGGGTACGGTGGAGACGGAAAAGGAGAGGAAGTTGTTGGTCTGCGTGGGTGTCGTCGGCGGTCTTTTGACGGTAAGCTTGGGGGAAACAACGACAACACCCTTTCGGCATTTGAATGTGGGAAGTTGTAAAGACATTGACTGACGACGGACGAATGCTAGGGGCGCTCCATCCTCGTGTGGATCTGGATTCTGCTTGGTTGGACCGACACGTTTTTCGTTACATTCATCTTGAACGCCCTACCGGTGTTTGGTAAGTCTCTGACATGCTTCCAAAGACAATTGGATGGAGTGGAAAAAAAGGGGCTCTGGCTAACGGTAGCGCGCAGTCTGCTTCATCCTCCTCAACGTCTACCACCCGAGCGCTTACCTGCCCTCCAACTACACGCGGTTCCGCCTCGACAAGGACTCTGCCCTGGCGACGAAGAATGCCGATGCGAGGGTTGCGCAGCTGACGCGTGATGCGTATCTTGCTGCTAATTCGAGCGATGCTAGCAGCGGTCGCAGGATGGAAATGGCATAGAGAACAATCTGGAATATTGGTTTAGGGGCATAATAAAGGCGCATGGATTTCAAGGATTATCATATGGATTAGAACAGGGGATTTTGGCGGTTTCACTTTTCGCAAGGAGTATTGCAAAGAATTACAGTCCAAATTCGCATCGGCACAATTCTCTAGGTGGATAGCAGCGGCTGGTTGCAGCTGATAGAGCTAATAGAGTTGGATTAAGACGCATACGGTTAACGGTAACTCGAGTTGCCCCTAATGCTGGCGGCGCTGGTGGCAAGTCGAATTGGAGAAGCTACTGCTAGTGCTGTGTGTCCGTACCTGCAAATCACCCTTATTTCCAGCATCGCCTGCTCCTGCCAGTAAAACCTTAATTTCTATGCTTGGGGAATTTGCTAATGCCCGTGAGGGTCACTGGAAAGACTGAACCAAAACAATGCCATCTTCTAAAACAATTAGTATTTAGATTCCTGCAGTAGAAAGCTCCGTTTCTACTTCGACCGCTGGGGAGTTCTGAGCCGAATGCTAACCGCCAGTAGCACTACCGTTGATGATGCTACGTCCAAGGAGTAATGGAAGGCAAGGGTGCATTCACCAAAGGGTCGGTTGTAGATCTAAAGAAATGTAGAATGCAAGTGATTTTACCTTCCGAGACCATGAATCACAATTACCATTCTTATACCGAGGAGACGATAAACAAGACGAAAATTTGATAATTTGAGCAGCCATCGTCCTATGCCCAGACTTTGGGATCTATTCATCAATCGTCAATTCATAATATATGCAAATGCTATATAGTCTACTCATATCTATGTTTCTAAAGACCCTCTCCTCACCCTCTTCCTCGCCCCCTCCTTCTCCCCCCTCTCCACCTCCTCCCTCACCCTCCTGAAACAAGCATGCCCCAACGCCTCCTTCGCCCCCACCCGATCCTCCTCATCCCACTCCAGCATCCGCAGCAAGAGCCCGAACACGCTCTTCTCCCCGTCGTCACCCATCTCCTCGACCTTCTCCCTCAACGCCGCCACCCTCCCCATCCACACGGCCTCTTCCTCGGGGACGCGCCGCCACGGCAGCGCCTTCTGCACGAACAGCTGCCACCCGACGACGCCGAGCGCCCACACGTCGACGCCCGACCCGTACTCGGCGTGCTCCATCTCGGGCGCCAGGTAGGGCACCGTGCCGACGGCGCCGGGCCGCGGCAGCGCGCGCGGCGCGTGGATGGCGTGGCCGAAGTCCAGGATGACGATGCGCGGCTGCTGGTGCGGTGGTAGCCTGTTATTGTTGTTCGCAGCAGCAGCGACGGCAACGGTGGCGATGGACGAAGAGAGCGGGTAGGTGCTGGCAACAGGCGGCATCGATACGATGCCCAGGTTTGCGGGCTTGATGTCGCGGTGGAGGAAGCCGTGGGAGTGGAGGTGGGCGATGCCGGAGAGGAGCTGATAGAAGAGTGTGAGGCGGACGTGGAGGAGCTGCGGGGGTAGGGGGGCGGAGAAGGAGGAGGTCGAAGATGAGGACTGGATGTAGGCGGCCAGCGTGTCCCGCACGAACGGGGAGGAGATGAGCCAGACGCGTTCGGGGCGTGGACCGGTATACCAGCGCTCGCCGCGTTCGTAAATGGTGTCGATGAGGGTGGAAACGTTTGGCTATCGTTCTTTAGCGTTTTACACTTTAACGAGATTTCATTTACTGCTGTTTTGCATTGACCTGGATTGACAGAGGAGAAGGAAGTCAGGCTTACATGCTCCGGCACCCTCGCGCAGATATCAATCTCCTTCATGCATTCGCCCACGCTCCTCTGCGTCCTCACCACCATCTTCGCCGCCGCGATCCTCCCCGTCACCCTATGCCTTGCCGCCGTCACCGTCCCGAACGCACCCCTCCCCACCGTGCCCCTGATCAGCCAATCGCACAGCGGATGATCCGCCTCGGCAGGGCTGGCCAGCAACTCGCGCGGCGGCGTAGCATCGCGGCCTCTGAACGTCTCGCGCAGGAAGCGGCCCAGCCGCTGCTGGAACGCGCGCTCCTTTTCTGGCCCGCCGCTGCGCACCACGTACTCGAACACGTACGCCAGGTTGCCGAGCCCGATGCGGCAGCGCGGCTTCGCCAGCACCCGGCTGCCCGCGTCGAAGCTCTCGTCGCCCAGCACCACCGTCGGCCGCCGCGGGTTCTCCACCACCAGCATGAGCGCCCCGTTGCGCTCGAACGCGAAGCGTGCGTGCAGCCCCGCCAGTCCGGACGCCGGCACCCGCGTCTTGGCCAGCAGCAGGTCGACGCCGCCGTGGTTACGGACCGAAGCAGCGGCGGTGGAGGCGGCAGAAGCGTTCGCTTTGGTGCTCTTCTTCCACCGTCCAGAACCGACGCGCCATCCCAGCGGTGGCAGCTCCAGCGGCGCGTCGAACGAGAAGCGGTAGTGCCCCGTCCAGACGAGGCGGGGGTCCTGAGTTGCCGTCGTCTCATCGTCCGTCTCCGTTTCCGTGGCGCTGGCCTGCGGGAGGAATCCGGATTGGCTTTGACTTTGGCTCAGCGGTTCTTCATCATGGGGCGGGTGCTGTAGCGAGCTGAGCGGCACGATGGTCTCGATGGAAATGAAGTTGCGGTGGTAGGGAAACGCGTTCGGCGCGTTTTTGATCTCTGAAGCTACCTCATCGAAGGCAAGACATGCCTCGAGGTTGGCAGGTCGTAGGTGCGCGAAGCAGTCACATGAGGATGAGGGCTGTGTGGCCGGGGGTTGGTCGGTGTCAGTGCTGACGGTGTGGTGCGACGAGGTGGAAGATTCATCGGCTTCGGTCGGCGTGAGGCTTGCTGGTAGAGGGTGTGTGGGAGAGTGCATGAGAAGATTTCCGGACTGACTTTGGTAATGTCAAAACGCAGGAGTTGATGCGGGTAGGTTAATGTTAAATGTTATTCATTAACGTTAACCGGCGACGGATTAGCAACAGGCTGCGGGGGATCTTGGCCAATGATATCGCCCGCCATCGCTTACATAAGCCCGCAGAATTTCAGGCAGCAATGTAGAAATAGTATGAAGCACCTCAGACGACTGATTCCCAGACGGTGAGGTCCTCCATCCCTCTCAGTTTCTCTAGCGGTAGTATAACTCGGTTAATCATAGACGAAAGTAGAAAACATAGTGCGCCCTACGAGGGAAACCTAGTATAAGCTACCAAATAATTAAACAGCCGAAGGCTAGTGTAAAGAATAGTAAGGCCCCGGGCATAACTATACCTAGCTCTTTTCTTAGAAAAATAACATATGTGGAGAGCTGAAGCTATCATCCGGACGTGAGTGTACAATTATTAATTCTACATTTACATCCGGACGATAGCTTCAACTACCCATGACATAGCTAAAATTATTTGGATACTGCAGAGCATCGCATGAACGACAGGGGCAAGCGCTCCACAGATGCTGTCGTCGTAACTCAGGGATACATCTTCAACCCTCCGCTTCAGAAGTCTCCAAAAATCTCAATTTCCTGCGTCCTCTTTTCCGCTTTGCCCCTTTCCAACCTCCTAAGCCTGCGTACACAAGCTCCCATTCTCGTATATTTTCGCGGCGAAGTGACATCCCGGACTGACTGACGTTGCATGCGGGGCAATTCCCAGCAGAAAGACTCTCTCGGGAAGTCCTTTTTTCCTGCCGTAGATATCCATGCAACGAACATGGGCAGCCTCCAACACGACTGTTTGGTGCCTCCACAGCTTGATGACCACTGCGCCAATGGCACGATAAGGCAGCATTTCAGCTACCAGGGCCAGCAAACTGGCCGCGAAGAGACAACATCCTCTAGTAGTTTCTTCCGTGAGGTCGATAACGCATGGTAAAGATGTTGTAATCGAGGGCGTCGTATCTATTCCGGCACAGTTGGCGGTGCTTTTAGGCGGGCGGCGTGGGTAGCGCGGAGAGGTCAGGAGAAGGCATGGCGTGTGGTTGGGCGGTTTTATAGGCAGGGCGGTGGATGATTGCGTGCAGGTGAGCCATGCAGCAGCCGCTGCCTATAATTAGGAGAGCCCTAGCTTTTAATCCTAGTCAACTGACGCAACGATCACCCCCATGCAAAGCCACAGCAGTAGCAGGGCTTCCCTGCCGCACAGATGTCAAAACAGCCGTGCCAATTCTCTGTCACTTCAACCACATTCCTTGCTGCTCCGGCCGCCGACACCATCGCGCCTGCCTCCCGCGCCCCAAAACCTCGGGAGTCCGAGCGGTGCGGTGGCTGATCCAGGTCGAGAGGCGCGGTAGCTAATCCAGGTCGGGCGGTGCGGTGGCTGATCCAGGTCGAGTGGTGCGGTAGTTGATCCAGGTCGACTGTTGCGAGGTAATAGTGGGTGGTTCGGATGGCCAGATCAAGTCCTCGTTTCATCCAGAACTCCTACTCTTTCTCGTCTTTGACCGAGTCGTCATGGCATGCGTATTATACAGCTGGATCCCAACTGCAAGCTTCCGACTCCTCGAGATGCGTCTGGGCGCATGCGACTTCCTCTTTGGCGAAAACTGCGGAGTGGCAAGATGCCGTCCAAGTCTACCGCAAATCGTCAGTATGCATATCCCGAAAAAAAAGTGCACTAGACCACCAGCAACGACGGTCGTTGCTCACCTCGTAAAGTCCGTGTCCACACGCAGCCTCTTCGCGCCGTTCTCGCACCCAAGCATGGCATCCTCCTCACACCCTCTCTTCCTCTTCCCACCGACCGCCACCCGCTCCTCCTCATCCCCACTCGATGGCGGCGTGGCCAAATCACCCTTCCATCCCTTCCCGGCGATCGCTCGGGGCAACGGCTGCACGCCGACCCTATCGCCATCATCCTCCTCCTCCTCGTCCGACTCCACCGTCGCCTCCCTCAACTCCCTCATCGCAGCGCTCAACCGGTCGTCGTACGCGGCACGAACGTCGTCGGGCGTGGTGCCGCGCGGCCACAGGTAGCAGTCGTCGTCGTGGTTGACGTCGTCGTCGCTGGCGGCAGTGGCGACGCCGTACTTGGCGGCGCGCCGGGCGTCAGCGGCGACGTGTGCCTCGAGCGCGGCGCGCAGGTGGTCGGCATGCGTGCTGTCCGGGTCGAAGAAGGCTAGGTCCATGTCTCGCTCGTCTGGTGTGTGTGTAGGTGCGTCGGTCGGGGTGGGCGGGTCCCGTGGGCGGGTTGCGTGCGGGAGGTTGTTGCAGTGAGATGATGATGATGCGACCGGAGGAGGATGGGGCGTCGGGGCCCATTCTGGGCGGTCGCCCTTGCGCCTTGGGCGCGCGAGCGTTACCCGGCGAATGGGCCTGAAATGGTGATCGCCGAGTTTGGTTAGCGTGGTGTTGACTGCGCGCTCACGAACACATGCCGCGCAGAACGTCATATCATCCTCCTATTGAGCTGCCAAACAGGAGAAAACTTTCCCTGCTTTCATAAGTTTCTTCCTATCAATTTCTCACACTAGTCTTAAATATCGGCTTAAAATTTTCGTTTTGCCACTGATGTTATTTAGAAACTCGATCTGACTAACAGCTAGAATCCATCACAGCACTATACTACAGTCTGCTGTTTATAAGTAATGCTGGCTAAACTCGGGGCGTACATGGGGTGTCTTAAGAGATGTTCTCCGAGCTTTACGACTCTTCTATATCTATAAAACAAAGCAAGTGTATCGGCTCTTCAGAACCGTAGCATCGCTGGTCTACGCCAGCCGAGGCACTCCTACGTGTATTGTTTGCTCTTAATTGGCTACAATTATTTTACTTGGTAGAGAGAGTTGCAATACTAACATTTTAAAGTCTCTGCATCTTCTCCTCTTGTAAATATCTTCGACTTGCTCTTCTTTTGTCATTTACTTTTTTTTTTCTCTTCTTTGTTGTGCTCGAGCAACGCACGCCTATTTAATTTCCCCGCTACTACCGACACGCTTCCTGTCGTACATCGTGTAACGCGTAATCCCCGCATGTCTGAAGCGGAGTGGGCGGGTGGGTCCCTCTTTTTCGGCAGTTGCACGATGCGCGTTTGATCGACGTGCCATGACTGCAGCAGTAGGGCAATCAAAAAGCTTAGCTCAACGCGGAAAGTAGCGCGCTATTTCACGACGGGAAGAAATTAGATTTAGACTGTTCGCCGACGCGTTTAATGAAGTCAGGGTCCGAGGTGCGTGGCGTTCAACTTGCGAAGATGGCGCAGGCTGAGGACGCGTAGGCACGCTGACTTGGCTGGTAAGCTGCATGGTCAGATGCACTTTGTACCATGACATATGCTCACTTTCTTTGCGACATGCATGCGTTTGATTGTTGATCTCTTTGAATGAATTCATTTGGGTATTCAACCTTGGCTCTACTCGCCCAACTTCCTCCCTATTTTGCAACCAATTTTGCCTGATCTACGCTATGCTGGAGAGAATTATCCCAAAAATCCTAAACGCCGTGGGCTATGCATAGACCAGGGGCCTCGCTTCTCGTAACATCCAAAAGAAGATGCGAAGTACGATGTGAAGTACAAACCGACCAAAGATGAAGAAAGGAGTGTCGTGACCTCGTAACCGTCAAAAAATAATAAAAAAAAAAACGTCAACTCAAAACACCTTTCAAGAAATTTCCCGTAGGAAGATGAAGGGAGAGAACTCCTTGAAGTAATTTACAACGCCATGACGGCAACGACCAAACCCGCGACGGCCGCAGCGGCAGCACTGTTCCGCGGCGACCCGAAGCTCGCGACGCCGGCGGAGCTGCTGCTGGTGGGGTCGTTGCTCTCGGTCACCTTGGCAGTGCTGACGGTGGTGCGGCCGGTGGTGGAGCCGGACACGCCGTTGAGGTTGTCAACGGTGTCGATTGCGGGGCCGACGTTGAAGAAGTCGACGAGGACGGCCCAGGGGGCCTTGCCGTAGGTGGTGCTGCACTCAGCGGCGGCGGCGCCGAGCGAGCCGGTGGCGCCGGTGGTGTTGGCCGAGTTGGTCGTCTCGAGGTAGGTGGTGTTGGGGCTCTCGATGCCGAAGGCCGAGGTCGAGTACAGGAAGTGGTTCATGAGGAAGAGGCGGTCACCCTCGGCGGCGGTCTGCGTCTGGCCCTTGAGCGAGGTAGGGCGGTCGGGCGAGCAGCTGTAGTTGGACGGCGAGGTGTTGTCGTACGAGTTCTCGTAGAGGAAGGTGAACTCGTCGAGCAGGTAGGGGGCGGCCGTGTTGGTGGAGGCGTCGAGCGAGGCGATGAAGGTGACCAGGCGGGTGTTGTTGGAGATCATCTCGCGCAGGGTGGGCCACTCGGAGGGCGCCTCGGTGGTCGAGTCCGGAGTGTAGGCGTAGTCATCGATGCCGGAGGTGCTGAATTCAGAGGCCAGGACCGAGGCAGAGGCGTCATCCGAGTTGACCAGCAGGATGGTGACGACCTCGTTGGTGTTGGCGTCCATCCACGTCTTGATGTCGGAGAGCCAGTCGGAGAGCTTGCCGGCGTCGAGCAGGGTGCACGAGCTGTGGCAGAGATGCCATTCGTCGGCGTTGTTGTCAGTGTAGTGGTGGACTTGGGCGGTCAGGAGGCGCACGCCGGCGCTGAGCTGGACGGTTGAGTTGTAGTACTGGTTGCCCGAAGTAGAATAGCTGGTGGTCGAGTCGGAGAGAAAGGCGCTGTCGTGGGCTCCCAGGAGCGTGACGTTGCCGTAAGACTTGTCGCACAGCGATTCCGCATTGTTGCAGGCAGTTTGGGCCGAGGCCGAGAGAGAGAGCAGAGGCAGGACGGATGCCGCGCGGGCGAGATTTCTGAACATCATGTTGTTCCAATTAGGCAGGCGGCAAGCGAAGAGCTGGTGGGAAGGCAAACAGCGAGTGGCGGGAGCTCGAAAAAATAATACGAACGGACGGAAGTGAACCGGAGGCCAGAGGAAAGGGTCTTTAAACTGAGGCACGCGGTGGCCAGGTGGATGTCTTACTCAGTTGTGGGCTGCTATATTTTTGTCTGCACTGCCCCGTGGATGGGGCCTTACGCAGCCTAGCTTGGGCGCGTCGTCAGCGCCGCGGCCACCGCCCATGCTCAACATGTTGCCGCCGAGCCACGAGCCGGAAGCCTGAGTGGCCGGCGAGGAGCCGCCAATGCTCGCCGGAGCATGACACTTGCGTTGTGGCAGAGGCAAAACGGCCCTGTCGCAGGTGAGGCTTCACCGAGGCCCCGTCTTCCAGAAGAAAACCCGCCGCGAATCACCGGCTCCGTGCGCCCGCCAGCCGCGTCGCCCGCCAGCACCGCACCACCAAGCCTCTCCGCAGCCCCTGCGCCTGGCGTCATCGATCCTGTGGCCCCAGCCCCAGCCCTGCTCGTACCAACTCCATCAGCCCGTACAACCATTTGATAGAAAACCGCCTGCTCTTCCAGAAATACGATTCCACATCCCACAAGCCCGCTCGAGCCCACCCGCCACGTCGGATCCTGCTCCACTCTTCCATTTACCGTATCCAGCAGTCCCCACACAGCCATGTCCGACAGCAACGAAGCACCGCCCACCACCATCACGCTCCACCCTCCCATCACCACCAACACCACCACGGGCACCACGCCCGCGCAGCCGCCTCCCACGCCCGCCTGGCTGCAGGGCAAATGGCACGTCACGCACAGCACGCTGCCCATGTGGCGGTCGAAGCGCAACGTCACCATCACCTACACTGCGCTGCCCGACGGCGCCAAGATCGACGACCTGGTCGAGTACCAGGCGCTGGACGGCTCCGACAAGGTCAAATCCGTGCACGGCGTCGACACGCCCGCCGCCGACTGCGCCGGCTGGGCTTGGGACTGGCGCGGCAAGGGCTGGCTCGTCATCGCCAGCAGCCGCTGGGAGGCGCTCGGCTACGGCGACGAGGACGGCGAGGGCGAGAGGCAGTGGGCCGTCACGTATTTCGCAAAGACGCTGTTTACGCCCGCCGGACTCGACTTGTACAGCCGGCATCCGGACGGCTTGAGGCCGCGGACCGTCGAGGCGATCAAGGAGGCGCTGGCGCGTGTCGACGACGAGGACGTGCGGAGATTGGCTGGCGGCTTGTTTGAGGTCAAGATGGATGGCTCGCGGAAGGATTAAAGGAGGCGGCCAAGCATCGACGTCGAGGTTATGTGGAATAAGGTTGCTGGGGAAAGCCCGGCGCGAAAAAGGTTATCGTTCGTCTGGTAACGAACGTACCTGACATAATAATACACCAACGCAAACGCAGGCATTGGGGATTCCCGGTTGGACGTCTAATGGTTCTCGGAAAACAAATGATACCCTTCTTCTTGGCAGCAATGGATGGTCTATTGGAAGCACGGGCAACTCGGGATCTACCGACTTTCGGCCCCGATCTTATCGATATATTGGCTTCTTTGATCCGTCTCATGGTCCTTGCTTTGCTTCCTGTTCCGAAATCACTCGCTCATTTCGCTTGCCTGATACGGCCTACACGAATACTCAGGCTAACTTAACTCTTGCGTAGCTGACCGCGTGGACTCCTTCTGCATATTAGCTACGGAGGCGCAGTTCATGAGTGCGCAGAGTATTTAATCCTTCTGCGTCCCACGAAGGCACGCACATGTAGAATCTCTGCAATATCCAGACGAAGACGTCAATTGTCCACGAAACCAAGATGCCGTCTCACTCTCCCATCGTCCTTGCACGCACTAACCCGTCATAAAAACACCACACCCAAAAGACACATGCTTTCGACCAATGCAGATCCATAACCTGCCGCGGCAATGGTCTGTAGCGCTGATAAGTCTCGGCCAGACGTAGCCAATCCCAGCGTCTTCGCCCTCAGCGGAGTCCTGAGCAAAAACAGCCACTCGATGTTGTTATGCGGTTGAAATCGCACTCGTCGTCGTTGCATTTCACTAAGTCGTCGGCTTGAACACGACGAGACTGCAGGGTAGCAGGAGGAATATTTGTGCTGGACCTGGGCATAGGCTGGTCTGATGTGGCTGAAGAATGAGCGTTTGAGGTCGAGATACAGCTTGTGTTGAGACAGTCGACATATGCACCATCCATAGTGCTTCGCTGTTGTGAATGATTCGCAGTGCTTTGCTGTTGTGGACGATTCGTCGTGGTCTGATCTGGATAATTTGTAGCGTGGTATCGAGGTGGACGAAACCTCAAGAGAAACGGTGAAGGGCTGATCGGCGGGCACTGATATAGATGCAGCCCCGGTGGAGGCATTACCGACGAGTGCTGACGTGGAGGAGCCCATGGTGAAGGCCTCATCGGGGAGTGCTGATAGGGAGGGTTCCTCGGTGAAGGAACCATCGGTGTGTATGGTGGAGGTGCTACCGGCGTATACGGTGGAAATGGAATCGGGTGTTTCGGTGGAGGCGACATCGGGGGATACGGATGTGGAGGAATCATTGGGTGCTGAGAGGGAGGATTTGTGGCGGTGTACCGATATCCATGATACGTTGTGGTTGAGTTTCTCGGCTGTGCTTCTTCCTCATACCATTTCTTTACCGTTGGCTGAGGTCCTGGACGTCCCCTCCCCTCTATGGTACTTTCTCTGCCCCTACCACCGCCGTTTTCGCACGATGCTCCGGGACTATCTGTACTCCAGGATAGCTTACTCACATGCCCATCAACATTCTCATTGTCATTGCTGTTACTCTTGCTGGCGTTCCCGCCGCGCAAGAAGGGTGTGGGCGAGGTTGGTGCTGCTGCTGCTGATGATGATGATGCAAACGGGGACGGTTCGTCGGCGGAAGCCTGATCACTGTGCCCGGGTCAGAATCGCTGTCCGAGTCATCGCCACGCCACCAGCGCGAGAACCCTTGCCTGTGCCAGTCGAAGCTTGCCTCGGGGCCATCCTCAAACGGACCACCCGAGTCGACTGGCGCCGGCGCCGGTTTGCGACTGGCTTGGTACTCGGCCGCGATCAGGTCGCGGGTGAACTGCTCGTGTTTCTGCTGGCGCCCCGGGTCCATCTCATCGTCGGCATCGGCGGCGCCATCATCGTCGTCGTCCTTCTCGTCGTCGTCGTCGGCCGGGAGCAGCGAGTCACGCCGCGTTCGCCGGGGCAAAGACACCCGCATCGAACTTCTCGCCTCGCCTCCGTCGCCCTCGTCGTCGCCGCTGGAACCGTCGTCGTCGTCGTCGTCTTCGTAATTGATCAGTTCAACGGCAGCCGGCGTTGGCGTCTCGTCGGAGTTCCAGGCAATGCCGAGGCCAGAATCCCGTTTGTTCTTCACACGGCACTCGTATGTTTGGATTGATTGAGTGTCGCGATCTTCTCCGCAGGCCGAACGGCAGCGGCCCAACCTGCCTCCAGGACGAGGCATGATGTAAGCCTTATCCCTGAGCAGAGAAAGGTGCTTCGTGAGTTCGACGAGCGGGACTGGCTTTGCTGGAAGCTGGCGTGAGCGGTCTTCTGGTGTCGGGGTTACCGGTTCGTTGCGCAAGCTGTGCAGAGTAGGTGTGCAGTGTCGTTTTCGGTTGTATGAAGAGAGGAGCGTAAATGGGTTATGCTAGCGATGACGCCTCGCAGATAAAAGGTCGAATAGCGACAATGCTTGCGGTGGGAATATGTCGTCCAACGAGAAGGTGAGAGAGAAGTGAAGTCAGAAATGGAGTTGGAGGAATCGCCGCCGGTCATTCACCGTTTAGGAAGCCACGGCCATCGCGACCGCTGCTGTCTTTTCCGGCTAAATCGACCTCGAACAGTGGGCTGCAGAAAATTTGAGGGGCTCTTGGATGCTACACTCTTCCTACGCAGGTTGTTGAAGCAAATATCCGGACATGCATCCAGACATCGGATTCAATTGCCTGACCAGGGTTCCGTGACGGCGAGATCAACGTCTCTTGCGGCCCGCTGTGGTTGTCGGCCGTTCTGAAATCGGATGGTCCGTTGCTCGCAGCGTTGATGGCAACCGCAGCGCCATCGAAGTTCAAACCCTAAGGGATGTCGCTTGCCGGGTATAAGCGGTGCTTTCTTATCGTGCCGGAGTGTGTCGGGAAGGAGGCAGAAAGACAAACGTGGCTCAGCATGCAAGAACCTTAGCACACTCTCAGTTATTTATATGGACAAGAAGGTCAGCCAAGCTCCTCATGACGCCATCCAATGGGCTGGCTGCAGCGGCAGTGCATCCGTGCCGCGATGCGCTCCCGCGCCAGCCGGCGGGAAGTAGAGTTGCCCGATTCCAGAAAGGACCCCCCGCTTCGCTCTCTTTTCCAATAAAAGAATGCGCGCACCGAAGGCCGTTCCGGTGCAACACGACCCGATCACGCTTTCCCCTTCTTCCCCTCCCTCCCTCCACCAGCCTGGATGGACATCTCCACCCACGCAACCCTATTTGTGGGCGACCGGTCAGTTCAACGGGGGAAAGCAAAAAAAAAAATATTTTCGTTGAATCCTGCTAGCTTACGCGCCCCCATGTCGCGCGCGCGAGCCGCTGCCGCCGCCATGGCCGCAGGTCTGCTGTGCCGCCGTGCCGCCATGCAGGGACCGCAGTTCTTGTCTCCAGCCACACGAGTTAAAACCCGACAAGGGGCCTGCCAACGGTCCATGGAAGGGGACGAGCTGTCAGCCATGGCTACCAGTCGTCCAGATACAGCCCCTGCTTCGACCTGTTCATGCACGCCATGCGACACCACACGGAGATCCCGAGAGCCAATCGAACATTCGCTGAGATGTTGTGCATTCTGCACATGCTCTGCTTTGGGCGTGAGGCGGGGAAATGCGGCAAGTCAAAAATGTGACCTGCATGAAGCGGGTCCGGTCTCGACCGCTCCATGGAATTGTGGATTTTCGACACGAAAGATCCCACCGACATCACCCCGCGCGCGCGTCGTCCGAAGGTGAGAGACCTGAAAAAAAATATCAAAAATATCACATCCTGCTGTCTCCACATTCTGTTTCATCGTGTGAAGGTACGCGCCAATGGGTCCGGCCCCGTATAAACCCGTCAATAGCTGAATGCCAAGTCAGCATCGGACTCGGGGAAGGGCGATAAGCGTTGAAGGAGCTTTATCTGTCAATGTTGATGTGGCACAGAGACTTGCAGATTAGGAAAACGAAAAGGGAAGGATGGGCAGAATTCCCCGCACAGCACCACATCACGCTATTCCCTACAAATGTATGGCCGAGACCCCTCCCCACTCAGGAGGAGGAGGTGGTGGTGGCTTTGGCTGACCGGTTGTCGTACGTTGATGAAGCTGAATGCATGTGAATCTGGAAGCAAGGAATCCAAATTACCAAGAAAGCACGAGGACCTCACAGAAGTGTCGAACGATGTCACGATAGGTTAAACTGCACACAGTTTTGAAAACGTAATTCCATTGCCTTTTTATTAACCACATCTATGTGTATGTTTTTAGCTCATAGTAAAAAGACCCGTAAACCTTTACTGAAGACCAACGGAACGCGATAACTAAAAAATCAAAGAAACCATGTATCATGAACACATTAAATGCTGAAACCCAGTGTACCGCCAGCGCCGAACCGAACCCCCACTCTTCTGTAGCAATAAGTATACAGCGTGCCAATCATTTTACCGCTTCTCTCTCCTCAGACGCAATTTATGCGCTGGCCAGCTTCTTCAGCAGCTCCTCCTTCTCGCTCGTCGGCAGCGTCTCCAACGCGGCCAACACTCCCTTGAGACCAGCCTCCTTGTCCTTCCTGAGCAGCTCGGCAACCTGGAAAGCGGTCGTCTCGCGCGCGAGGTTCTCGACCTTGGCGGCGACCTCCTTGCGGTTGGTCTCGATCCACTCGGCGACGGCCTGGTCGTTGTTCTCGAAGTCCTCGACGCCGGACCAAGCCTGCAGCTGGGCGAGAGCCTCGTGGCGGCTGATGGCACCCGAGTCGGACACGGACAGCCTCTTGAGGATGTACTCCTCGTTGATGCGGCGGCGCAGGCGCCAGTAGAAGAACCGGCGGGCGTTCTGCCAGCGGAGCGGCATGCGGATGGTGCCCTTGGCAGCCATGCGGCCGGCGCGGTCGTGCAGGTCGGCGAACTGCAGCGAGATCTGGCCGTAGACGGGCAGCAGGAGCTGCTCGCGCTCCGTCATCTCCGCCTTGACCTTCTGCTGCTCCTCCTTGGACAGGCTCTTGTCGGCAATCTTGCGCTTGAGCTCGCCGTACACGGGGTCCAGGCGCGCCATCGTCTCGAGCTGGCGGTCCTTGCGGAACTTGATACCGACGATACCCTCGGGCTCGAGGACACCGCCACGAGAGTCCTCGTCGGCGTACATCTCCATGTACTTGGAGTTGATGGTCGGGTCCACGACGACCCACGAACCACCACGGAGCTCGCCGAACGGAGGAATGTAGACGAAGATGGGCTGCTCGTACTTGACAAGAGCGTCGACAATGAACGAACCGTACTTGAGCACCTCGTTAAACATGTCACGCTGGCCACCAGAGAAACCACGCCAGTTGGCAAGGATGAACAGCGGGAGCTGTTCACCGTTGTTGAAGTCCTTGATGGCCTGAGCGGTCTTGAAAGCTGAGTTGGGGTACCAGACACCACCAGCCTCCGAGGTGACCTGCTCGATGGAGTCGGGGTTGGCGGGATCGGCAGGGATGACGTTCTCAACGGCGCGGGTCTCGACACCAATGACACCAACAGGGAGGCCGCCGAGGCGGGCACGACCAACGACGACGGTCTTGGCCCAGCCGCCGAGGGACTCCTCGAAGGAGCCACGGTCAAAGAGACCGGAGAGGTAGCCCTCCTCGTCCTCCTTACCAGCAATGAGCCACCTGACGTCGTAGGGCTGCTTCTGCGGCGGGTAATAAGTAATGTCGCGGTCCCAGTGCTCGGCAGTAGGGGATAGCGGGACGGGCTGGCCCTTGCTGGCCGGGACGTAAGACAGCCAGCTGACAATCTTGGAAACACCCTCGAAGTCATCCGAGGCAGTCATGTGCGAGACACCGTTCTTGTACATGATCTGAGTGCCACCGAGCTGCAGGTTGGAAGTGTAGACCTCGCGACCGAGCAGCTTGTTGATAGCGGGAGCACCAGTGAGGATGATGGGCTGGCCCTCAATCTGGATGGCACGCTGGCCAAGACGGACGAGGTAAGCACCGATACCAACGGAACGGCAAGTGACCAGGGTGATGGTAAAAATGTCTTCGTAGGCCCTGGACGTCTCACCAGCGATGAGACCGGAGCCACGCAGACACTCGACACCAAGACCATCCTCAGCACCAATGATGGTCGTGATCTTGTGCCTGATCTCGCCATCCTCCTCGATCTCCTCGGTGATGACTTCGCGCCTGTCGCCCTCGTCGAAGTGCTTCTTCTTCTCCTCAGTGAGGTAGAGGTACTTGAAGCCCTTCTCAGGGTTGGCAGGGTCGTTCCAGGCAACCGAGAAGTGCGGGATCAGCTCCTCAGCCATACCGATGCGAGCACCGGAGTTGGCAGACAAGTAGATGCGAGGAATGCCAAGCTTGCGGGCAAGCTCGGAGCACTTGTGGAAGAACTTGTCTTCCGCAGGGCCGAACGAACCGATCTTGAAGGTGATGTCGTTGGAGATGATGATGAACCTACGGCCCTTGGGGTACTCGGGAGTCTTGGCCGTGACGATCCAACCGACCATACCAATGGTGTTGGCACCCGGCTCGCGGTTGACCTCGGCCAGGTTGTCGTTGTCGTCGAGGACAAGCTCGTTGTACTCGATGCACTCTCCCTTGACGGGCTGCTTCTCCTTGAGTGCCTGGTTCTTGGCGCAGGAAGCGTGCCAGCTGTTCTCAATAGCCTGCCTGAAAAGCTCAGGGAAATCGTAGACGTATTGAGTGCCCATGATGTGGGCCTTGTAGCGCTTGGGCTGGAGCGCACCCTTGGTGGGGTATGGAGTGGAGACGGGACGCAAGTGCATGGCGCCGATCTTGGTGGTACCGCCAATGCTGTGGAAGAGCCACTGGCCACCCTTCTCAGACTTCTTCTCGGCGTAGAGCTCGACGTCGACGACGTAGCCAGCAGTGTTGGTGATGACCACACGCAGAGGGTAGGGCTCGCCGTGCTCGTCGGTGCAGATGATGCGGATCTCCGCACCGGTGACACGGAGCCTCCAGGCACGACGACCAAATCTGTCGAGGAAGCTAGCGAGGGCTTCTTGGACATCCTGGGGCTGCAGGGGGAAGACGGTGGAGAAGTTGATGAAGATGTGGTTCATGTCGGAACCGTTGTTGCCGATGATCTCAAGAGCATCCAGGATGTCGTTCATGAGCCTGTCGGCCTCGGAGATCATGAACTCAGCGGTGGGGATGCCTTCCCGGAGACGGCCAGGGCGGACGACAGCACGCGTGAAGTACCTCTTGTCGTTCTCCGCACCCTTGCCAACA